ATGTTTAACAGGAGAACAACTAAGGAAAACTCTTCAAGAATCCTCTTGCAACACGTTCTCCTGACTGAGCCCCTCAGATCTGTGCTTTTATTCCACCATTATTGCTTCAGATCTGTTGATCTGACCTCAAAAAGAAATCCTTAGTAAGTTGACTCCCAGTGTCTCTACGAGAAGAGCGAGTAAAAATGCAGTCCTGCAGTTGTGTTAATTATTTCACAGACACTGTCATAATTAAACCTCACTGCTGCATGGCTCCTGATTTTAATAGAATCAAATTCTGAAATTTTCTGCCCCAGTATTTTTCATTTTTCATAACATTACCGACCTTTGACTTTGCCATTGCTTGACCTCCACGATGCCTCCGGTGCTGGAAACACTCAGGGCAAGGACCCCTGCTTCCACAAAGCTTAGAGCCAAGAAGAGTTATTATTGGGCACGGGACCCCTTGCTTCCACAAAGCTTAGAGCCAAGAAGAGTTATTATTGGGCACGGGGGGATCTCTCACTGTTGCTATCAACTGAATTGGGGATCCTGGTAAGGAGGATAGGCAACATGAACACCGAAAGGCACATTGGATGCAGGAGGATGAGGGAAGATACCAAAAGAGGAGAGGAAGCCAAAAGAGAAGTCTCAGAATACACAATCAACCAACAAGGACTGCTTAAATATCCATCTGTGCTCAAGTCTGTGTTAGGTGTTTTAGCTGACAAAGGATTTACAACTCTTGTCCTTGCTTTCCAGCATCCTTTCAGCAACCTGGGATGCCTAAGGAAATTGCATATCTTCCATCTAAAGTCTCCCAGAAGTACAAATGATTTCAGAAGCTGGCAGACTTGGGTTCCATGTGTCCTATGCTCAAGTCTTGCTTTGTGTTCTATCAGCTGTGTGATATCAAGAAAGTTACTTGAACTCTCTCTGCCTGTGGTTCCTCATCAGTAAATTTTAGGTGATGATAATGACACCTACCTCTGAGGAGTGATGTAAGAATTAAATGACTTCATATATGGAACATGCCTAGACAGTTCCTGGCAGCTAGGAAGTGCCCAGCACGACAGTGGTCATGATTATTTGCTGTAGAAGGGCAGCATTGTCCCACGAGGTATGGCAAAGCTCAAAGATCAGTCAATCTCTGCTCTTCTTTCCTTAGCCCATTACAATGGCTGCCATCTATTACAATTTACCATGCACCATGAATCACAGTCAGCACCTCATAGAGGAGAAAGAAGTCAATGCCTCACAAATGCCTCCCAGGTGGCAGGTGCCAGATGGCACATCCACCTACAGAAAACTTTTTGTTCTTAAATATTTGAGCCAATACAACATAGAAAAGGTGCAATTTTTCCATAGACTGTTTTCTAAAAATAGAGCAATGAGAGAGAAGACTAAATTCAAACCTCTTGCATTTCAATGCCACACTGCAGACCTCACTTAATGACATCTTCAAAGGATTGACCAAGCTTTTTTTTTTTTTTTAACTTCCCTTTATTTTCAGCCTCTGTTGCCCCTTGGGATGGTGGCAAAAATGGCAGGATTAGGGGAAGGAGACATGTTGATCTAGAGGGTGGTTCTAGGTAAAACAACAAAGGCATGAGCCTGGTGTATCTATGAAGAATTGTGTGGGATCCTCCAGCTTCACATGAGACAATGTGTGGTTTAAGTCACATGACTTCTGATACATCCATGTGTTGAATGTCTTCTTTATCTCAAGAACCACCATAAGCACTAGATACAGCGAGGTGGCAGGATTGCTACTCTACACTAAGAGACAGACTGTGCCAGCAATAAGACATAGGGGCCTTAAGCCATAAAGAGGGGAGGGCACAGAAAGGCCAAAACAAGGGAAGGAGACCAAGTGGGAGCTCCTGTTTCTGTACTGTGGTTTTAACCTTGAATGGGCTTTAGTTCAACCCAGGGCTGGCCCCTGACCAGCTGGCTGACCCCCAGCAAGATGGTACCTCTAGTTCTTCATCTTAAAAGAACATAATGGTAGCTACCTCCCAGGGTTATTGTGAAAAACAACCAAGGTAAAGCAGAGGAACTGTTGTAACAACACTAGCACATAGTAGGTGCTCTATGTGTATGTGCTTCCCTCCCCTCCCCTAAGAACCACCCTTGCATTACCCAGGACGGGTTAGCACAGCAGTTAAGAGCTTGGGCTCTGGAGGCAGGCAGCTTGGACTGTACAATACTTATTCTACCAGTTATTCTACTGGTATGGTCACACATACCAGCTATGTGACCACGGACAAATTACTTAACCTCCCTGTGCCTCGATTTCTTCATCTGTAAAATGGAGGTGATAAGTAACTCACCTGTTGAATATTTGTGAGAATTTAATATAAGGAAATGTAACAGGTCAAAAACATAATTAAGCTATCCTTAGATGTCTCTGGATTCCCAGATTTTAACTCATTAATTCAGAAAATCACTCCACAAGAGATGGATTCTTTTTTATCCATTTCACAGATGAGGTGACTGTGATGTTATGTAGGTTATTGGCTCACCCTGCTAGCAAACCACAGAGCTAAGATTTAAACTCAGGTAGTCTCCCTCCAGAGTCTGGTCACTTAGCCACTCTGTTCCAATGATAAACCCAATGATAAGCCCAGAAGTGTTACTTGGAGACACCAGGAGAATGCAGAGAATTCTAAAAGGCTCCAGACCTGTCGCCCTGTCCCCACCTCCAGCCCTTCTGCCCTCCTCTTCTTCACCCCTTCTCTTGTACTCACCCTACATATGTGGTGCAACTTCTAGAAGCTTAGTGTTTGCCATCATCCAAGATCTGCATTCCAATCAAATGTAGATTAAATGTGATGGTTCAACTTAATTAGAGCCAAATCCCTCTTTTATTTCAGTTTTATCTTAATTATCCCTTTTATCCACTAGTCCAGAAGCCCGTAATTTCCCACACAGTCACTCTGACTCTGGACCATACCGTCACAAACAGCTGCTGCCAGAAAATGTTCCACTCTTAAGTAATTAAGAGCAAATAGAAAAAAATGTCATTTCTCCAAAAGACTCTTTTCTAAGAATAGCAGAATACTATGTTTTCCTGGAAATCCTCTCTGCTAAGAATAATTTTCTTATGCAGACACAAACATTAGTAGCATCTCAGAAACTGTGACAAGATGGGACAGTGCCCAACAACAGAAGACATAAGCAGGCAGGACTCTCAGAGACCCCTGGAGACTAAGCAGGAAAAGAACAAGTCACAGAATGTCAAGCCTTAAAGGAATTCCAGAGAGCATCTAATACTGTCTTTTCAAATATAGACTCTTTTTTTTTTTGAGGTACTGGGGTTTGAATCAGGGCTTACACCTTGAACCACTTCACCAGCCCTTTTTTTTTTTGTGAAGAGTTTTTCAAGATAGGGTCTCTCGAACTATTTGCCCAGACTGGCTTCGAACCTTGATCCTCCTGCTCTCTGCCTCCTGAGCAGCTAAGATTACAGGTGTGAGCCACCAGCACCCAACATGTAGACTCTTACCTAGATGATCTAGAAGAAAACTGAGATAGTCTCATTGAGTCCTGCCAGGAAGCATCTAGGCCCTCACCCCAGTCCCCTCCACACCCATCCTCTTTCCCCAGTTATTCTCAGGAGGGCTCTGAGAAATCCCTAGGACTTCTTGGGGCACAGTTTGAAAATCACTACTCTAATTCCACTTTCTCCTTTTACCACTGGGAGGACCAAACCCAGAGAGGCTGCCTACTTGCCTGAGGTTACACAGCCAAGTCAGTGGCCTGAGCAGTTCCTCTTATCTTTCTCCAGCTATTTTTCCATGATGACACCTGCCTCATCAAATGAACTGCCTTTTGTTTCCCCAGACCGTATGTGTTTGGATTTATGTCTTTGTACCCATGCCCAGTGAAGGTTCCAAGAGAACCTAACAAACCAGTCTCTGCTTCTACTTTAAAGACTAGAGTCTGCAGTTTGGACACAGCATCCTTGCTGCCTGAGATTCCCAGATGCATGTTCCTAAAGACAGAAGGTTAAAATGACCTAGGATCCCATATTTCACCATCTAAATAGATTGAGTTTCTGTTCTCACAGGGAAGTCCTAAAAAGTGGACAATTCTCAGTGAGATACTTAAGAGCTAGCAGCCAAGTCAGGCCCCCTAGCCTATTAGTTCTGTACACTTAAATGAGCCATTACACCCCTTTGTTTCTTCTCTGTAAATCAGTGGAGAGGACAGGATGGGAGAAAGCCACCACATGGCTCAGAATATCCAACATGGTCAAAGTTGAGCAAGTTGCTGTGTCTGAAGCCCTATCAGTGCTAGAATTAAAAGTGCCAGTGATGGTCCTGCAAGCTAACCATTGCCTCTACCTGATTGGATGATGGAAGTTGGAAGCAATGGTGAAGTGGGACTCTGACTTTTGTGCACTACGAAAGAAAAGCTATGTGCATAACAGCTAAGGAAGGACTTACCAGGTGCTCTGCATGCATTACCTCGTGAGACCCACCCAGCCTCCCTGACGATAAGTGCCATTATTGCATTAGGCTGATGGAGTCCAGACAGGCCCATTGACTTATTCAAAGTAACACAGCCAGAAAATGACAGACCCAGAATTTGAATTCAAAGACATCTGGCTGCAAAAACCTGTGTTTTTAACCAGTAGACCACACTGATTTTCCTTGCTGCCCCGCAGAAAACAAAAGGGAAAATGACATGACCCACAAAGACCCAGGACTTGGCTGCATAAACAGACAGACACCAAGGCTGGCTTTCTGGGTTGCCCCTCCAGCTTGCTCGAAGGAGAATTCCCCAGCAAACACTGGATCCACAGATCTCCCAGGGGCAAGAATGCTTGCTTGTTTACCGAGTGTCCTGGGCTGGGGGGTGGTGAGCTGGGTACAAAAAGAAGGATAAAGGTAAACTTTCTGCTTGGGAGAACCATTCCCCCCCTCCAAGGAGCCGTGTCACACTGTATGTCACCGTCATCAAAGGGGCTGTGCATAAACCTGAAAAACCAAACGGACCTGTCTGTAGGTGTCACTTATATCACAAGGCTACAGGTGCCTGTATTTCCACCGTCTGCTGGTGCTGGGAGCGCCTGAAAGCCTTCTCTCTGGACTTAGCCACCGCTGTCCTCAAGTAAGCTGCTTTTCTTTGCTCTTTTGGATGAATTGCAAGGGGTGTCAGGGCTCAGAGGCTCAGCCTGGGGCCTGGGTCTTCTCCCCTGTCTCCAGATCCCATGCTGGCTGTTCCACAGGCTGTCACAGTGTCTTGAGGAGCTCTTTGACTCAGATTTGACTGCTGGCTAGAGAAAGACATTTTTGCCTCCCCAGGCTATGTGGCCACCTACTCTTCTGCAGCAATCCCACTCCCTCTGGATCACTTAACTGAACCAAGGGGAAGGAAAAAAGAATGTGCTCAGGCACTCAACTCTCTACCCCTCCCAAAGCTGTCTTTAGGTAGGAAAGCTGGATTTTACACAGAAAAACACTCAGCTTCAAGGAAAGCCCACCACCTCCCCCAACCTGACCTAAATCCCCACTGGCCTGCTCTCTGCCCCCACCTTCCTTGGTACAGAGAACTGCCTTATAATAGTTTGGGGAATTCTTCAGGAATTTGTCTGTACAAAATAGTTGAAAAGAATCTGTTTTCCTTTCACAGCACCTTAGAATAGAATGCTTCTAGAAAAGCGATGATTAGGGTTTTTCCACTGTATTCTCAGACTCAGTCAAAGACTCTGCCTGCTGTGTATGTGGAGTTCCTGTGGTTTCTCCCCCTGCTGGCAGAAACTGGTAGCACAGGCTCCCTCTTCAAGCTGCAGCTGGGGACCAGGACTGCAAAGACATGCTAAGAATTTCCTAAACTGGAAGATGCATCACAGATCATTAGGCACAACTTCTTCATTTTACATTTGAGGGAAGAAGTGAGACCCCAAAAGGCTCAGCGGTTTAGAAAGACAGATTTGTGTTTTACTAACGACCCAAGGCAAGAGGCTGTTTGCCCATGTGAGAGAAAGCTTGATTCTGTTGTCTTCATATTCTCTGTGGGAATGTATTTTTTTTTCATGATTCAAGGTATTTTTGGAAGTTTTCACAGTTTGACTGTCTTCTTTTCTCAGAAGTTGCCAGAGAGTCATTTTAGATACATGGACATTGGCTGCTTTATCCTGATGAGCACAGGTATTACACCCAGTGCCCTGCAAATATTAATTAGGGTGTTTGTTTGTTGGTGAGACTGGGGTTTGAACTCAGGGCCTCGCACTTGAAAATCAGGCACTTGCAAAGCACCTGCAGTACATTTTGCTGTGGTTATTTTGGAGATAAGGGGTCTCATGAATGTTTGCCAGGGCTGGCTTTGAACCACAATCCTCCTGATCTCAGCCTCCCATGTAGCTAGGATTACAGGAGCAGACCACCAGCAACTGGCATATTAACTAGCTTTATCAAATACTCAGGACATTCTGAAGATTATGTGTTAAAATACCCTTTTTAAAGATGAGGAAACAGGAGCTCAGGGAAGGTCATGAATATTTCTATAGCACACAGGTATGAAACAGTCAAGAATTTTAGTGGCCACAAAAAAAAATCAAGATTTTCAGCTCGCCAGATACTAAGAAGTATATCCTCACTTCGCTTGCCTCGTGAGTGGCCTAGGCAGGATTTAATGCACACACACACACACACACACACACACACACACAGTCTGTGACCCCTACATTGAAGCCCTCAGCAAACTGTATGATATACCTTCTACAGGACTTTGCTGCACCTCCGTAAAGCAGCTGGAAACAAACAAACAGGCAAAGTCCCTAAGCAAGCTAAAGAAAGGTGAGGACTCACTTGACAAGCTGTTAGCAAGCTGGTGCTCACAGCTCAGGCGGTTTCTCCCAGAACAAACACTCAAGCACCCAACCCACAATCCTTCTTTTGCGACAAATGTTGAAATACTCCATTGAGTTTTCCTTAGTCTGCCCTTCTTAAGGAGATCTGAAGGGTAGGAAATTAACTGTACATTGTCCACAGGGCTCAGGACCCAGTGGTCATTCAGATGTCACTGAGGCTTTGGGAGAGGAAAAACTGTTTTCTTCCCCATGAAACTGCCAAGCTGGAGTTTGGGAAAGCCCTTCTTAGGCCTGCTATTCCATATTTTAAACCTGCGTGGCCTTGTTCTGCTAGGTGATTTTTTGACATATAAACAGCCAATGTGTAGATGCATAATTGGGTAGATTTTTGGTCACATGCCCAGAGTGAAGTTGATGATCCCCGCCAGGTCAGGAAGGAATTTTCCTCTTCTGGTAAACTGGCCAAGGCTGAATGGTTTGCTCCTTTGCCTCTCTCTGGAAGGCTGAGCAGAGGTGCCTAGTGGCTGAGGCCATGGGTATACACCTGTTACTGCTGTCTCTGATTCCTGCACAAGTGAGAAGCCCACAGGCCTGTCCTTCTGACTGGGTGGATCCTGAGTGTGTGTTTGGTGTGTGAACCAGCTCTGAGGGGGGAAGGAAGCCACTGGAAGCATACGGGGACCAGCCTTGTCTCACTCTCAAAGGTACCCGTGAACCGTCTTTTCATGAGTGAAAGGGAATTCATTTGATCCTGTCACTGTATTGATTGTGTCAGATCCTTTCTTACTTAGGCAGCTAGTGCAGAAGCTGATGTTGGGAAAACTGATCCCAACTGCCATGGGTCTGTGGTGGGAGGTGGTGAGCATCCAGGTTGTTTAAAGAGCCCGGCTAACCTGGGGAAAGACTGACCAGCTATCCTGGTAGAAGGCAGCGGGCATAGGAGAAAAGCGAAAGAACTACATGTTAATCTGTAGTGTACTGGTTGGATTTTACTCCAGTTTGGTGAGTTTGGTTGGCCACAGTACGAAAATGTGGTCAGTATCTGTATACAGCTTTGGACACGTTGGCCCAATCAGGTGGACACCTGTAGAAAATTGCAGAGGGAGGGCTGACCTTGAGTCCGTCTCATCAGGTTCTTCATCTAGGAGATGAAGCTAAGGTCTGGTTCAAGAGACAGAATCATTATTCCAATTTCAGCGTTCTTTCCATGATGACAAGCCTGCCACCCACTCAAAATGAAAAGTGGGGCTAGTCTAGCAGGCCTTCTATGCCCTTCCATCTTTTTTGTCCTGTGCAGACACTAGAACTCCTGGGACACCCCTCTAAGAGCCTTTTGTCATCATCACTCATTGAGAATAGCTGGTCTAAGTAGCCCAGCTTATGTGTCACTGGGCCTTGATCCTGCCACTAAGAAATGGGCCCCACGTTAGGTTGCTTCACACCCACCCTGCTCTACCTACATTAAAGAATTTCTTCAGAGCCAAAGTGTTCAATTATTGCAAGGACATAGAGAGCTTTAAAAAAAGAGGGGCTGATAAACACAAAGCAGCCATTATTTCTGAACTCTCACACCTAGTGCGTGCTGGCTAAGTGGCCAAGGCCTTTTGTGAGGAGCCCGTAGTTAATAACTTCATCCTGCTGCAATAGCAAAACAAAAAATGAAAAGAAAACTTCCTCTGCTTTCACAAAAAGCTTTTTTTTTTTTTTTCAAAAGCAAGAAATAGTTACAGAAGGAAAACGGCAATGAGGTACACCCAAGAGAGCTCTTAAAAAAAAAAAAACTAATGGATATAATTTGCCATAGAAGGAATTACCAAAGGAAATCAGATCGGGCATTGTGTGCAGCTCTGGAAAGATAATAGGTCAAGTGAGTGGACGGTTAGAAAGAGGTGGAACTCCTTCAAGGAGATAAATACCTTATTGATCATAATTATTCCCAATTTTTATGTGATTAAACTCAATTTAGCAAATGACTTTCTTTTTAAATACCATGTGACATTTGAGAGCTATTTGTCAGGTATCAATAAGGAAGGTCTCACTCAAAGTCATGGTCAACTTTGGTTTTTGGAGGATCCCTATTGGCATTGAAGGCCTGGGAACTGTGTTCTGGTTTTCTCCATTTGGGGTCCACCTGTCCTTTCTCCAGACTCAATAAAGGTCATATCAGAGGGTTGTCATCCTCTTTGATTTTCTGAGCCTTTCCATCCAGAGGAAATGAAAATGCTTCCTCCTGAGCACTCAGAAGATCTTTTCTGAAGTCCAATACAGAAAGTAGAAATGGCTTGGGCTCCAGGGACCTTCATCTCTCATAACCTCCCACTCCATCCTTCTTCATCCTGCTCCCCAAAACCCTCCATACTCCACCCCCACTAAGGATATAAAACCAGCCAATCCATGGGAAAATCAAAGCCTGAACCCAGGCAGCCTTGAATTCTGATTGATAGACTTCCAGGGGAGATCCGTGGCTGTGATAACCACTGTGCCTGTTAACCCTGTCCAGGCAAAAAGCTTACTAATGGGGTAGGTGCGTGCTGGCCCAGAAAGGGTGCTCAAGGGTGAGAATCCAAACTCTGCTTTATATTTATGTTCAGAGTGCACATAAGGTGAGGAGGGTGATGTTAGGTTTGTGAACATTCCCAATGAAGTGGTCTTTGCTTCCAGAATCACAAAATGCCTCCTAGGATGGCCATATACATGTGTCTTTAGAAAAGGAAGCAGATAGGCCAAGCATTGGGAAACTTACCTCTGTCATCCACTGGCTATGTGACCTTGAACAAGTCACATAAATTCCTTGGGCCTTCACTGTAAAAATGATAGGGTGAAAAGAGTGATGAGAAGAATTCGGTATTTTCCAGTGCTAGTTCCTATAGCACAGGCGGGGTGCAAGATGATTCTGCCCAGAGATTGGCAAAAGATTTGCTTGTCAAAAGGCAAAAATCAAGACTGTTGTGCAGGAATGTATTTTTAAATATAAAAACATTTTTGGCCACTGGACATAAAAAAATAGGTGTAGAGTGGATTTGGTCTGTAGAGTGTAGTTTGCTAACTCCTAGTTTAGGTAGGTGGTACACAGATGAACAATTTTTATTTCAATGCTGGTGTGTGTATATAAACATATATGTAATTTTTTCAGTGCTGGAGATTGAACCCAGGATCTTGAGTGTGCTGGGCAAGCTCTTTCCCACTTGAGCCATGCCCTTTTGATTGCATTTTGGTTTTTGAGACAGATCTCTCTCTCTTTGCCTGGGCTGGCCTCTACCTTGATATCCCCCTGCCTATGTCTCCTGAATAACTGGTCAATGCTTGTATATTTATGTTTATGTACATGAAAAGAATACTAACATTCTACTTATAGTGATGATATAAAATTTTCCTTTTAAGTAATCATATTCACATTAAAACCAAAAGGGAATGGTTTTTTTAAATATTTTAAGTAAATAATAATAGTATATGGAAATGACTACAGTTTGGAGGACACTGGATTCGATGAGGGACAAGTCCTGACCATCTTAAAATTACATTTTTTTTTTTACCTCGAGACTTGGAATCTAGTCTCTGCCCTGATGTTTGCCAGTGGTGTGATCTCCAGTTGCTGGGTCCTTGTAAACAAGGATGAAAACTACCAAACTCATTAGTGTTTTGTCAGCAATCAGAAAACAGAAGTTGACTGAACAGCTTTTCTAATCTGTTAGCATGGACAAGAATGTGTATAATGGAGCCATAAACCATTCTCTTCTGTCCTCCTTCCAAACTCAACCAGACACAGTTTGTGGAGCTTCCCCCACTACAGTATGCCTGGAGCAGAACTCAGCAATTATGATCATGAGCCTTTCAAACAGACCAACCTGAGCTGCCACCCAGGCTCCATCGCCTGCCAGCTGAGTGTTTTAGCATCTGTTACCTGGAGTCTCAGAGCCACTGTCCCTCATCCATAACATAGACTCCCTGCCAGGACCTCTCTCAGAGTGGTTCTGAAATCATGAGTAATGGAGCTAAGACACTAGAGTACGTTGTGTGGCACTCAAAGTGTTGTGTTTGGGGCACACTCTCTTCTCCAAAACCCTGGGCAAGATGGGCTACAGCAGTAGTGTTGGGAAGGTGAGACAGTGAATATCCCAAAAACTACAGAATACCCATCAAGATCCAATAGTGTTCCAACACATTAATATCTCTGCAGTGCATCATATGAGTAGTCACCAAATAGAATAAATAAAACTACAATGATAACTAGAAAACTATATAACATACACAGTTTCATATATGTGTGTATGTAGACATATACACAACATATGTTATTTATATAACACTGTAACATCAATTCAGGACTGGTTTTTCTGGGAAATAAATGCACACAAACTTTTAGCTTTCAGATTTCAGCATTGTAAATATTATCATATATTCTTACTCTATTTTCAGAAGTGTACTGTCAACTATTATATGTCAGAGATCAGAGGATCAGAAAAGAAAACAAAGAGGCAATATTGCCTAATAAGAGTCTCTATCCTCAAATCCATTTTGCCATTTTCTAATTGTTACTTGGCCAACTATCTTGACCCTTCTGCCTCAGCTATAAAATGTGGACAGACAGGATATGGTGAGAATTAAATAATGTCATCTGTGAAAAGCACTTAGAGAAGTACCTGACTGCTGTCATTATTAAAAACCTAAGACTGCTCTGCTGGGGGTTCTCATGCATGTGGCTTCTGGGAACCCATGCTCCATACTTCCTCATGGCCTCTCCACTATTCTAGGGTGATGTTGGACTCAGTGACACACAGCACATTCCTGCCCAACCCATCCTTCTGCGACCCCCTGATGTCTTGGACTGATCTGTTCAGCAATGAAGAATATTACCCTACCTTTGAGCATCAGACAGGTGCGTACATATGCAGGAGCCCATCCAAGGGCAGCTGGACGTCGGGTGGATGATAGGCCATGTTGGGGCCTAGAAATGCCAGTGTTCAAGGCAGAGGCTGCAGGGAGGCTGGGAGGAAGGAAGGTCAGCTTCCTGCAGAAAGAAAGGCACTGAAACCCTTGCCCCCACTTCCTCCTCCTTCTGTGTAAACTACACAGAAGCAGCACTCAGTAAATACGAGCCCCCTTGCTGTCCCCAGGTCTCCCTCCCCACCCTTCCTCCTCTCTCTCTGCCAAGTTTTCTCCACCTAAAAAGGAAACTTGGAGCCTTGTGCAAATATCATTCCAGAAGGAGGCCAACTGAGCTTTGTCCCAGAAACCCTCTGAGGCCTCTGGGCCTAGGTGACTGCATATCCCAGCAAACCTAGCTGGCTGCTGCCACAGCAGGTGCATACCCCACAGGGTGAGGCAAGTGCCAATCAAGCTGTCAGTCCTCACCAAAGTTAACCCTATGTATCCTGGCCTGACGGAGTCCAAGCCCACGGCCAGGCAGCATCCAGGAGGGGCCAGGCCTCCAAGGTGCTACACAATGTCACCACCACAAAGAAGCCCTTACCTCCAGGGCCACAGGCCAGGGCTGCAACCCTAGACTTGGGACACTTCCTACATCACACAGTTCTAAACCCCCACTACCTCCCCTACTCCACATACATGCTCACACACATGAAATCTCTCACCCTTACCTGGAATGTCTAGATCATTGCATTTGAACTTGAACCATTCAGGTACATAGTGCAATTCTCCTTCAGGCTTAAGAAGCAACTTGTCTCCCAGAAAGACAACGAGAAATGTGTTCTATTCTTTCCCCCTAAAATTTGGCTAAGTGGTTAAATCAGAAGGAGGAGAATGACAACTTTGGGGTCCTCATTCCTCCACATGTGTCCCACCATGGTAGAGAGGCTCCCATTCTTCTATCTACCTACACATCAGGCCAGCCCTCACTTCACACAGACCTGCCACAGGGGGACTCCCCCGCCCCCAGCCTCTTCTCTTGGGTGAAGGTTGGGGTGGCAGTAGGGAATGGTCTCAACCACCTGTGTGTGCAATGGCCCAGGTGTTAGAGCAGCAACTTCGGTCATTGTCAAGAGCTCAGGCTCTGGAGCCAGGCATCCTAAATGTGAAGTTCAGCTTTGATTTGTGATTTCTGTGCCATGCTAACCTCTCATGCCCCAGGCTTCTGGTCGCCTACCTTGTAGAGTTGTTATGAGATCAAAATGACTTAATATAGGTGAAGTATTTGGGACATAGTGTGACACATGACCAGCACAAAACTGGAAGATTAGTTCCAATTGGAAATGATGAGAAAATTCTACAGCTGGATAGGGCTGATGATCATGTAACATAAATGTACTTAATGTCACTGAACTGTACACTTAAAAAGGGTTAAAATGGTAAGTTAGGAATATTTGACAACAATAAAAAATTTTGAAGGGTTAACAGGAGTGATCACCAAGGGGACTTCCAGTATGCCTTAAATCTGTCTAAGTCTTGAATTCTTAGACACAGTTTTCCCCCTTCTGAGGCATCTGTATTTCCATCAGTGTAGTGAGAGGTGGAACCTCTGAAGCTTCTGTTTCCAGAAGCTTCTCTGAATTCTGCATCAGGCAACATTCCAAGCATAGCTTTCTCTTCCTACCACCATTGAGAGAATAGAAACATCCAGCATGGCATGAGGCTAATGAAAATAAAATATCCTTCAGGAGTGACCCAGATTCCTAACATCCTCTGAGGGATGAAGAGGGCTCTTGACCTATCACCTGGTCTTCTGGATTTCAGAAGAAACTGAGTGTCTCTGATCTCCTAAAAGTTGAAGTTGAGTATGAAAATTAGTCTTCAGTAAGCTCCTATCTTGGAGCTGCCTGAGCACCAGGTGAGCCCCATGGTCCCTAGCTCTCCTCAGAGTCACACTGGTGGGAAAAAATACTTGATGTTACTCTTTTGTCTTTTCCTGACAAGGACATCTCATCCAGAGAGGTGGCACATGGTTCTGAGTTTCTTCTGCAAAAGCCTTCTCTATCAGGGATGTGTCAGGGACAGCCAGGATGCCCGGGGCACTTCTCTGCTAAACTTTCAGGGCTTGGTGGCCAGAAGAGCTGAGGCATCTCTCCTAAGGTCTTCACCCACCTCATGGGAATCTCCAGCTTGAAATCAAAGTTTGCCTTAGGGATTGCCTTAATGGCAGCTTCCTGTTGGAGTTTGGCTTCAAGTACTAGCACTGACCTCCAGCAAGCTGCTTATTTGTTTGAGTGGGGTTTTTTGTTTTATTGGGGGTATTTTGTTTTGTTTTGTTTTGTTTACAGTGCTAGGGATCAAACAGGTCACTGTGCATGGTAGGCAAGTGCTTTACCACTGAGCCATACACCCCCAGCCCTCCAGAAAGATTTTTGAGATGTTTTTTCCATTTCTGAAACAGTGTCTGCTTCCTAGAGTTGGGAGAATGGAGTAAGATTTAGGATAGAAAGTGTTTCATCAAGCCCAGTGCTTGGAAAGTGCTCACAGTAGCCAGGAGCACCTCACAACTTCCAGATGGGTAGGAAAACAGCCATGGCTCTCCTCTCTTCATTCTTCATGTTGAACAAAAGCAGCATATGTCTCATTCACAACCTTCTCAATTCAGAATTGTTCACAATATAGATGCTTTGGGACCAAAGGGAAGGAAAGTGAGAAAGCAGTGATTGGCCCTCTACATAAATGACATTTAAGTGATGCTGGGAAGGAATGCTCAGCCTGTTTATGAAGACCAGCGGTCTTCATGACTTTCCAAATGACTTCAGCGAGAGCAGCTGAACCTGGGCCCTAAATGTGCTCACCACAAAGGATCCTGGCCTGCTCTTTGCAGCAGGACTTCTGCCTGGCTGTAGTGCAGGCTGGAAAAGGGACAACCCCAGATTGCAAAATACTCTAGAATGACATTAGTCATTCTGGCTTTGACTTTAGCTTTTTCAAAATAATGAATTACTGATGATGAAATTTTTATTCAAGTGGGGAGTCTTGTGTATTTTACATGCATATAATATTTTTTAAAGACTGTTTCTCCAATCAAGTTCTAGTAGCCAATCTACCAACAAGTCATGACTATCCTGGCCTCAGCTCTACTTCCTGGACCACCACATCCCCACACACCTCACCAAGATGTACCAAGATTACCAAGATGGCCATGCCAACATGTGGTGCCTCTTTTGCTTATGCTTTGTCCACAGCAGAGGTTTCTAGATTGGGCAACTTTTGGGGTCCTTGAATGTCCCTTAGGCCCACCTTACAAAGTTGCTGGGACAACATTGAGAAGACTGAACACCAATTCTTCTCACTTCCACCTCCAACCAGGATCCTCCAGTTTAATTCTGCAGACAGTGCTGAATAGTGGTTATTAAGGCTTAACTATAGGAGCTGGACTATAGCTATATCACCTACTCCTAGCTATGCCTCTTTATCCATTGTGTGATTTTGAAAATTGTCACCCCCTGGACCTTACTTTCTCCATGTTTAAAATGGGCAGCATAAGACCTTGTAGCACATGTTGAGGATAACATGAGAAAACAGTGTCCACAGGTGACTGGCACATACAATGCACTCAATAAATGTGTAAGCTGTTATTATTCAATGTGAGAATTTCTTTGAAGTCAGAGCTTTTTTTTTGAAAAAAGTGTAAAACTACTGATCTTAGATATTAATATCCAGAAAATCAGGGACAAAGGCATTTGTATCCCACATGTGCTTTTCTAAGCAAGATTTATGCACTGGGTGTTGACGTTTATAAGCAATTACAAGGGTACACGTCTAAGAATTTTAAATCAAAATCAAAGGAACAAACACAAAATCATTTGAAAGCCTGAGGTGAGCCATGTGGCAGCTGTCACATCGCACTGGCCAACCCTGGTTTGCCAACACATCTGTGAGCCCTCAGGGCAGCCATGGCCCAAGACCACTCTAGGCTTGGCTCTCTCTGCCCCTTCCTAACTCCACACTCTCAAGGTCATGGCCCTTTGCACACACACAGACAGTCCTTCTCCTTTTTTTCTCCGTCCAATTTCTTACACAGCTCCTGGGCTTTATTTTTTTTTCCCATCTCATGGTCAAAGTCATTCCAGAAGCTAGAATGGAAAACCAAGAAAGGTTATTATATGGGGCCAGCCTGGCTCTGAGAAGAAACCTGGAAGCAATTTATCATCGCAGGTTTTCCCTCATAAAGTCCTTCCTTTCAGTGACAAAGCTGCAATTGGTGGTGCCCCACACTGCCCAGTTCATTCACCACCTCTCTTCAGTGCTGCCCCGGGCAAAAAACTTTCCTAACTCCTTATGCTAATAAACCATGGTAATTATTACGGTCTGAAGTTGTCTAACTCAGGCCTCCTCTGATGCAGACTGTCTCCCCTCACCTATCCCCCAGCAGCAACTGTCTACTTTGCATGAAATCTCCAATGTCCATGTCCCCACCCAAGGCCAGTTCAGGGATGGACATTATCAGCCGAGCCTGAGGGAATAGGAGCACATCTGCCCAGATCTGAAAGCTAAACTGCTGCTAATTCAAATACATCCTAGCTGATAGTTTCATTTGTGAGAATTCCCCAAAATTGCCAAAAAAAACCCAAAAAACCTCCCTCGACCTCCTCAGCAAGTCTTCCCAATACATCTGGCCCTCCAAAAAGTGCCCTGACCCACTTCAGACTTCAAAGGAGCAGGCAAACCTGCTGCTTAATAGTGGCCTGTAGACATTTGGATTAAGCTTACCGGGAACAGGATGCTGACAGCCTTGAGTAGTATGTAAGAAGAAGTGCCTCATAGCTCAGCTTGTCCAAAAAGTTCAGCCTATTTTATGAGTGATAGCTACATTGAGGAAAACACTGGACATTTCCAGACAACGTAATGATCTATTAAAGATACTATATTCTTGAGCATATAATCCTTCTTTTATTTGCCCTGACTTCATTTCTTTCAAGTAGCAGAAGGGCCTTTTTTTCTTTTTTCCTTTTTTTTTTGAGACAAGGTCTTACTATGGAGCCCAGGCTAGCTTTGAATTTGCGCTCCTCCTACCTCAGCTTCCCCAGTGCCGGGATTACAGGCTGTTCTAAAAGGGTCTTGTTCATGTCATTCTCTGGGATTGAAAACACTTTCTAATTTTTCAAACGTAGATTATATCTAAACTTATTATAATTTAGATAGATAGACAGACAGACATCACAGGTAATATGCCTGTGGAAATATCTATACCTTCATCCAAATCCTGCTTTAATCATTTGACATGCATGCCTGACTTCCTCAACCAAGAAAAGTGATATGACACAAAATTCCCACATGCAAAGACAGAAGAGTTGGCAGAGGACTAACTCCCTTATTGACCAACTGCCTCTGTGACCTCAGCAGGTTGTGTAACTTCCCAGAACCTCAGTTTCCTCGCCTGCAACATGAAGACAATAATCACTGGAGATTCAGTTATAGCTACTGAATAGCTACTGTGAGCTGGGCAGTGCCCTCAGCACTCCTGTTTCAGGGTCTGGGAGGGAGATTCTGTGAATCCTTCTGAGGCCTTCTGAGAAAGCAGCCTGAAGGAAGGTGCTGTGAAAGGGTGGCTGTGTTGGGGATGAGCAAGAACCACTCAGCAGACAGCAGAGGGAGAGGAGAAGCACCTGAGGAAAGACTGAGCTGTGAAGCACCTGTGGGAGGAGAGCAGGAAGTGACCGATGGGGAGGGGAGGATGGCAGAGACCATGAAGCAGGCCTCCTCACCTCCTCAGGAGCTCCAGAGGATAGGACTACAGAAACCTAGCAGGACTGAAAGCCCCCTTGGATTCTGGCTCCTGTGGCCCTCCCTCCATGTCTCTGAGAACAGCCATTTACCACCCAACTCTGGGGGTGAGGGAAGGGCTTTGTTGAGAGAGTCAGCTACCACTTTGGCCCTGGCTCCCCTCCAGGCCCTGAGCTGCACACAAAGCCAGCTCTGTAGGTGAGCTCCACAGGCAAGCTGAGAGCAGGGAGCCAGGCCAGCAACACCTTCCTGGTGTCAGAGCCGACCCCCCACTCAGCACTTCTCCGAATCCTTAAGGTCTTTTTGGTTTCCAGAAACAATACAGTCCCTTTCATGTGCCAAAGAAAATAATGAAGCAGTGGAAGTGGAGAGGGGAAGGGCAAGGAGACTCAGTGAAAGCTTTCCATGAAGAAGGCTTTCCATGCGCACTCCTACATCAGCATACAAATAGCCGTCTCAATCATGGGCCAGAGTAGAACCAGCTGCTGAAGAATGTCAAAGCTCATAAACATCTCTTATTATAATATCAGGAAAGTCCAAAGGCCCTTTATGTTACTCAAGCCGGAAATCAGTAGATGAACATGTAGACTGGACTCAGGAAAGGCCTCTGTTTTCCTGGAGACCCTGCTTGCTGCAAGATACCTGCCATGGGTCTGGGGGAACCAGCTGTAGCCAGCCACCAGTGGGTAAGAAGAGTGGTTGGGTCTCACCCACCCCTCACTGTTCTCATCAACCAGAGGCTGCCTTCACCAGCCTGGCAGAATATTGACTCTTTACACGCATGTAAAATTCTAGTTAAGGGCTGGGGATATGAATAGCTCCATGGTATATGTGAGGCCCTGGGTTCAATTCCCAACCCTGTTTAAAAAAAAAAAAACTGGTTAAAATTTTAAAATGAAACAAATCTATTGCTTAGGCTTGACTGCTCTTCAATCCACTCCACAGTAGGAGAAGAGGTTTCTAGAAGGGTTCTGAGTTTTAGAGGGAGCCTCAGTTCATAAAATGGCTTCATCACACCTATTTGGTAGGATTTTTGGGAAGATTTGACAAACTTGAGGTGATGCTGATAATGACATGTGGCACCTTGGAGACTGTGCAGTGGGTACTTAGTGAGTGGTAGCCCCCAGCAGGGCAGAGAGCCATCTCCTGGCTGGGTTCAGAAGCACCTCTGCTCTATTGGGGACAGTGACAGCAAGTGCAGTATTTAAAGGGGGAATAGCAATAGCACCACTGCCATTTGCTGTATGGCCTAACTGGACGGTGACTCTTCCTATCATCCACACAGCCTGAGTCACCTCAGCTAGGTTTCTGCTCTCTGCCTTTCCCCTCAGGCCACCTCATTCTCTTGAGCTCTCTGTCTCTCTCTCCATGTTCCATCTCTTCTCTGACTGACCCTCTGAGGACCAGTATGAAGGGACAGGAAGAGAGATGACTTTGTTTTAATCTGGTATTCAATCCCTGCTCTCCCACACTCTGACCATGGGATCTTAGAAAAGTCCCTTAGAACCCTCAAGTTCCTCATCTGTGACCTCCTGGGTGTCTTAGCCATGAATTCTTAACATGAAATTTGTTACAACACACAAAGTAGGTATATAGTGATAAGGTTAATCACTGCCTTAAAATTGTTCAGACTCTGTTCTAAGAAGTTTTGTATGTATTAACTCATTTAATCTGTAAAACAAGTCTATGACATAGGTGCTATAACTATCCCAATTTCACCAGTGGGGAAACTGAACCTCTCATTTATTGCAACAATGGATGAATGGATGGATGCATGGATGCATGATGGATTCCATGGCAGTTATAAGAACTGTTTTCATTAAAGAATCTGACAAGTACCTCATGTCTTCTATACCCTATGCCTGCCTCCCTTTCAGTATGTTCCTGAGACAGGGATCTCTGCCCCTGGACTAGGTATGGCCACTTCTGAGCCTCCCAGACAAGATGGCACCCACAACTATCTGGTTGTGTACATGGTTCCTCTGAAGGAGAGGGAAGCTCTGATCTTAGGAAAGAAAAATCCTAAAAACACAAGAACACCAGTACAACCAACTCTTGCATGACTTTCTCTCTCCAGAGGCACCAGCCATGCTGGTCCAAGGTCTGTCAGAATGCTGGAAACATCTAACCAACCCAAGACCCTGGCACAAGATGGCCAAAACTCATATACAAACAGGTAGCCAGCCTGGACAGCTGTTGATTTGAGCAGAGGGGACCAAACCACCTTGAAATGGCTTCTGGCACACAGTAGGCACTTACTAGCTGCTTGATTGGATGGTAATTTTCTATGCTACCAGTCTATGTACATTAACCACAAACTCTATAACATTCCTGTGAGGAAATGGAGAGTCAAATATCTAAGGACTTTGCTCAAATGGAAAGGAGCCAAGTGAGGATTTGAACTCAGGACTGTAGACTCCTGAGTTTGTATGCTTAGATACCATGTTCAAAACCAAATAATTGAAGAGCGCTTCTGTTTTCCTTCTCCACTCAGTCCCTCTTTCTTAGCACCAGAACAAGGTCTGTTCATTTCTCACTCCTCTCTGGCTCTGAAGTCCATCTGTATGATCCCATCCCTCTGGTCTTCTCTGCAGAGAAGATGGCCTGTGCCCCCAAAGAACACCTCAGGGCTGCAGCCTTTCAACCCACTGGGTGAGAGACAGATGTTAGTAGAACCGGGGTCTCCTTCAGGGGACCCTCATCCCTCATTTCTCACTGTGACTCCTATGCAGCCTGTGACTCCTACTGGACATCGGTCCACCCTGAATACTGGACTAAGCGCCACGTGTGGGAATGGCTCCAGTTCTGCTGTGACCAGTACAAACTGGATGCCAACTGCATCTCCTTCTGTCACTTCAACATCAGTGGCCTGCAGCTGTGCAGCATGACGCAGGAGGAGTTCATCGAGGCGGCTGGCATCTGCGGGGAGTATCTGTACTTCATCCTCCAGAACATCCGCACTCAAGGTCAGTGGCAAAGGGCTGAGCCTGGGGTGGAGACCAGATACCATGAAGGGGCCTTTTCCTGCGTGTGACTCGCACAGCAAAATGTTATTAACTGGAACTCATAGCCGAAACCTCTCAGTAACTAGAAGCGCTAGTACAGAGATTTTAGGCAAAAGGAAGAAAGTGCAAAAAAAGCAAGTTGAGTGCATTTGTTTTCTGACACAGAGACTCCTTAAGTTGTTCAAGCTGGCTGTGAGCTTATTACATAGCCTAGGCTGAAGTCTAACTCACGATCTTCCTGCCTCTGTCTCCGGAGTGCTGAGATCACAGGCATGTCATCTCAAATTAAATACACTTTTAAAAAGGAAAGAGAAACTTAAAACACATGTAGAACTGCCCAGGAGCCAGAATGATAATCACAAAGTAATGCAGAATGTTCACACAGCCATAAAGCCATGAAGAGGGGACAAAAAGAGCTTTCTGCTTTTTTGTATTTTTTGAAAGGGAAAAAATTAAATACACCTTTTCCCTACCCGTTTCCAGAAGAGTCCAAACAATTGGCCTTTCATTTTATAGCATTCCAAATAGTTAAGGACCAAATAGCCAGAAGGTGGCACCAGTAGCATTTTTTAACTCCAACATGCCTTCTGAGTCAAGTGTGATAGCATGTTTCTTTGAAACCAAAAAGGTTCTTTGGCATCTAATTCTATGTCCCAATGTCACAGATAAAGGAACTGATGTCCCAGCGTTTAGATGACTTTCCCAAGGTCACCCAGCACACAGGGCTGATTCACAGATAGTTCTACAAAGCAAGGCCTTGGAGATCAGAAAGACCTGTGTCACATCCCTGGCTCCAACACTTGGAAACCAAAAGATCTGGCAAGACGCTTAACCTCTTACCTTCTCAAAAGCATTTAGTGAAAGATTACCTGGCACAGGACATGGGTATAAATGACAGCTATTTTGCAGAATGGAACCAACATAGTCTTCCAAGTCATAAGAAAACTAGCATTTATATAGATTTGTGCTACTTTTGGCCTGTTCTCCCCTTTGACCAACACATTCCAGGCATTCTGATCTCCGGGAATTACAATCCCATGTCAGAGATCATAGACTTGGAGCCAAAGGGAGCCAAGTGAGTGTTTGTCTCATGTTCCATTCAGAGCCCAGTGACCAAGTGACTAACTAGCAAGGCTGGACAGGAGTCAGTGGTCCAGCCAGCTCAGAGCCCCACCCTCCTGGTCCCCAGCTGGAACTCGCTCCCCAGGGCCACTCAGAAGATCCACAGAGGCTGCTGGGATCCCTGGCTGTAGCTGCTCTTTCCAATTGACTTGCAAAAATGAAGAGATTGTTCCCTCTCTGGAGTGTCTTCAGAGTGGCCACATAGTCTCCAAGTTTCCTTTTGATGTAAAACTAACCCACAGAGGGGAAAGTTGTTCCCCTTCCCCCAACACATCCTTTTCTGGCCTGACCAGTGGAAACCAGAATCCCATGGAATGGTTCGTGGATTTCTTTTTCTTTCCCAGGTTATTCCTTTTTCAATGATGCTGAAGAGACCAAGGCCACCATCAAAGACTGTAAGTAATGAAGCTCAAGCTGTCCAAAGTTATGCCCAGGCTATTGTTGGGCACATGGGCTTAACCATGTCTGAGTACCCTGAAAGGTTAATGAACCAAAGCAAAACCAAGATTGGGAGAAGAGAGTAGGGAGAAGTGTGGTAAGAAGAGCATTAGTATGGGTCTGTGGCATCATAGCTCTGGACTGTGGAGTCCCTATCCTCCCTCAAGACTCCATTTCCCTGTCTATAAAATGGCAGGAACCTGCTGGTTGTGGTAAATTCAGGAAATAATGCACACAAAGAGCCTGGTAGGTGCCAGCAGGGCAGATGCTCCAAAAACTGATGTCCATTAGCAGAAAACTAATTACTTACCACTTAGCACCCTTGTGGTTGGTAACGTTTCAATCTGAGCTCACTCAATAAGTCAAGCTGGTAATTATAAGATGATGGAGGATCTTAAATGGCCTTATGAGCCTGAAGATTAAGCCCCTCCCATTCCACTTTCATTGGTGAAAAACATTTAGAAAACAAGACTGTGGATCTTCCATTTTTAAAAGATGATTGTTGTTGTTATTGATTACCAAGTCCCATGCAAAGATCCTGATCCAGGACCCAGGAGGAGATGTGGTCTTGGTTAGGCCCCTTCCTTCTTGGACTTCAGCCCAGCCATCTGCAAAGAATTGGAGCACATGGTGATTTCCAAGGGCTCTGACAGGTGCCAGTCAGAGGGACAGACACTGAGAGACCATTTCTTAGAAGTTATTTTTTTCTCTTCTTAATATTTCAATCCAATCAATTGAGGATTCAGGTTATTTGGTTCCTGATTAAGAAAAGTCTTGGGAATTTTGTCTGTTGTTTGTTTTTGGAGCCATAGCACAAGAACAGCCAGGTGATATACGACACTTGTGGAGCAGGTCCCCCTTTCTTCCCCATGGACCCCAGCTTCCTTATAGGACTGAAGGAACAGGTTTCGGGGTGAATGGCAAATGCAGAGGCCCTGAGGCAAGAATAAGCTGAGTACTTGAGAAAGAACTCCAAAGACCAGAGAGGCTAGCATTGGGTTGTCCAAAACAGTAGCTACTAGCTATATGTGGCCATTAAAATTAGATAATATTCAAATACAGCTCCTCAATAGCAGGAGATAGCAGGCGGCTAGTGGCTGCCATATTGAACTGCTAAAATTTCATCATCACCAAAAGTTCTCCTGGATGGTGCTGGTAGACCTTTGGCAGCACCCATAGAAGAAAGGCAGAAACTGAGGCTTAGAGCAAGTCAGGGCAGACTTGTGAGTAGGGAATTTTGAATTTCATGCTAAGCAGGCTGGGAAGCCATTGAAGGGTGGTAAGCATGGAAACAGTAAGACCCCAGCTACATTCAACTATCTCTCAGGCTGCTGTGTCTGGATCAGAAAGGAGTTCAGCCAGGAGGCTATGTCCAGGATGGTAATGCCAGTGGCCTGCACGAGTAGTGGGGAGTAGATGGAAAGAAGTGTCTGGAAAGAAATGGTGGGATGAGGGTTCTGCATTAGCATCTCTGAAGCTAACCCCAACCATGGACACAAGCCCTCTACCAATGGCTCCTGCCACTGAAAATGGCACCATAATGGTCCCCACCATTAGAGAAAATGGTGCCTCTGCCCATCTCCTCCAATCATAGTAGCACAATTTTTAGATGTAGCTCAGCGTTGGGGCATCTGTTGAGTCCACCTGAATGCTAGTCCCACAGCTTCTCCATATTCCAGCCATATTCATGACCAGGACACCATGGCCTTCCCAAGGCTCCTGAGATCTCTCTCCAATGAGTATGTTTTCCCAAAATATGAGCCCTATGGATAGTTTGATGAGCACAGAGGTTGATGTGAGACAACAGTTTGGTAACGTATACAGTGAGCCCATTCTAGAAAATCTAGGATGTACAACCACAGAGACTGTGGCGCAGGTAACATTTCATGGCCTCAGACTTTCCCATCCCAGAAGTGAGAGGCTGCCTTTCAATTTTGATGTGCCAACCAGAGACCACAGCCTATAGAGGAAGACAAGGTGGCATCCTGGGACTCCTGACAGTGTTACCATTGGGTCTTCAGCTATCATTACCATTTATTAGGCACTTCTCATGTGCCAGGTGTAGTACTAAGTATCCTACATACAGGAACCTGCATAATCCTCATCTGTTTCTGTCAGGTTGCACTGTTACCTCCATTTTCATCTAAGGAAATCTGAGTTACAGTAAATGCAGAACTGGGATTCCGTCTTGTCACCTCAGAGCCTCTGCTCTTACCCATTAAGCTATGCACACTTGCTCCTACACACACACACACACACGCACACGCACACATGCATACACACACACATGCCCACTCTAGGCCCTTCTATTCTACCCACTCAGTAAAGACCCAAAGCCCAGGGCTCCTCTAGGTTTGGGCCAATGTTGACAATGATTCACAACAGAGTGGTCTTCAACTGATGATGCCCTGACCCAGCAAGTTAGGAAGCCATCAGAACTGGCCAAAACAACTCAGTCCTTTCTCTTCACCTGTCCTCCACCAACCTCCCCTGCAGAAATGAAATCCGGGAAGTGAGGGGCGGGCTGCACCACACCTGGGAATAAAGTCTGCACCCTGGATTCACATCTGGCACCGCTCTGCCTCCTGAGCTGCAGAGCATCTCCGTGACCTCCTGGCATGAGGTAGAGATTTATGGCTAGAGCACTAGTGTCCTAAGACACTAGCTTCCTTTGAAAAGCCTGTCCCCCAGATCCCCATCCCAACTTCTAGAGGGGACTTGACTATGATCTCAATCGTAGGCAACACTTTAAGTTTGACATAGGCTACACTTTAAGTTTCCAGTCTCAAGGCCAACCAAATGTCCAAATCTCACAGACAGCAGAGAGTGGGGCCATGCCTCCCCTTGTCCCCCAGCAGGCACAGGAACACAGCAGAGATGCTGTGAGGCAGGAAGAGTCATACTGGCATTTGCAGAGAAGCCAGGTGGGTTCTGGGTGCTGCCGAAGAACCAGCAGCTGATCATGGTGGCGGGTGTGATTTGGGCACCGGCTTCAACATTGACAGTGCAATACCACCTTCACCACCACTACCACCAAGCAACGCCTTGAATCTAGTCAACCCATGAGTGCCTTCAAAGCCACCACCATGAACCTGGAACAGAGCAGGAAGATCTCTGGTCAGACAACCATTCCCATAACCTTTGACATCACTATGATCGCACCTGTGCTATGTTCGTCCTACCAAGTCAAACACGCTCCATTCGAAACACAGGGGAATCGTAAAAACTGAAGGGCAGATCACTTCCCCCCCTGCTTGCAATTTGGGCTTTTCAATGAACGTTGATTTTCTATTCATGGTTAGTAATTCACCTTTGTCTTTCTTTATGGTTCTATTTGTTTTCTCTCTTCCCCAAAGTGTAAATCAAAACAACGGATAGGTCTAGAGATAGAATAGACATGCATCCTAAGGGTGGCTGGTGCTGAGTGTCTGACAATTACAAGCGCTCATCAATTCTGAGCTAATAAGTGTTTGTTAAGTGCCCATGTTGCTTCCCACTAAAGACACCCTAATGCAGTAGTTGTGAGTCAGCTGTAAAATGGTTGCCCACCATTTGATAAACTCCTTAAACATGCTAAGTTTCAAATTCCTCCTCCACAAAATGAAAATCACAACAATATCATGCAGGGTTGCTGCAGGACTGAAATGCTGTATGGGAAGCACTCAACAAACACTTGGCATAAGTATCAGCAGTTAATAGAGAAGGGGACGAGACGAGAGGGATTTTTACAGTAGTGGGACTAATGCTATGATACTGGGGAGCACACAGGCGCTACTCAGAAGGGATCCAACTCAGAGGGTAGGCACTGGGAAGGCTTCCAAAGAGGTCTTGTGAGAGCACAAGTGATATGTGGGAAGCCTGTATAAAGGTCCTGAGGCAAGAGTAAGCCTTACCCCCATTGGGATCATCTGGCCCAAAAGAAGAGAAGAGGTTGGGGAGCAGAAAGAGATAAGGTTGGAGAACTGGGTAGGGTCCAGTTTGTGAAAAGCCTAACTAATGTGACCATCTTCAATCTGGAGACAACAGGGAACACCCACTACAAGGTGTTCAGTGGCACTGGGACAAGTCGGTGTGGGCAACAGTGTGGCACACAGGACACCAGTCCCTCCCTTGACAGCATAGCTATTCCTTTATTCAGGGTAGTGTACCTAGTGGAGTACACAGTAACTGCACAAACCCTGCCCTCTAGTGGGCACAGAGAGTGGACTGCATAAATAAATGCCTCACATAGTAGCTCAAAGGTGAGGAAGTAATGGAAGTGGATCTGTGGATATGGAACACTGCACGGGGCATGCACGTGTGGCCACAACTTGCATAGCCCGGGCAAGGCCCTCCGAAGGTGATTTGAGCCAATATTGAGATGAGGATGTGAACCCACACACATCCGAGGATGAGAAAAGGGAAGAGTGAGTACAAAGGCCATAAGTGGAATCGCCTGCATGTTTGAGAAAGAGCCCGAGGCCAGAGTGGCTCCAGCAAAGCAAGGAAGAGGCTGAGACAAGAGGTAGAGACTTAAAAATGAGGCAGCAGGGGGCGGATCCTATAGTGCTATTTCTTAAAAATCATACACTTTGGGACAATGAGTATACAGATTATTAATTATAGTGATATATATACATAAAAAACTCAACTCAGTATTGAGTTAATGTCTTGCTTCCTACCTTTATAACCTCTAGACTCTTCACTTCTAGTGGGTCCTTTGCTATCTGTTCTCTACACAGTAGCCAAGGGATCTTCTTAAAATGCAGATCCTTGCTTTACACTTTGATATAAAATCCCAAACCTTCACCTGACCTCCAAGGAAGCCCCTGCACAGCCAGCCAGCCATCCACATCCCCAGCATCACCCACTCCTGCCCTCCCTGGCACAGGGTGTGCCTGCCTCACTGGAGCTCTCTTGATGCCGGGCTTTGCACTTGCTTCTCCTTCGCCTGGGACCTTGTCTGCCTCCTCACCTCATTCTGTTCATCTTTATCTCTTATCATAAACGTGCCCTGTTCCTGAGTCCCCACTTCCTTAAGTAGATATCTTGCCACCCCATCCACTATCTGATGTCTTGCCTCCTTCACAACATTTAAAGCAATGGGCTATTGGGATCTTGCCCGGCTAGCCCATTAGTCCTCCAAGTTTACGTGAGCAGGGACCATGCCTGGGTGTTCGCTGTTGCATCCTAGCACCAATCCCAGATCCCAGACTGCAGCAGGGCCCCAGGATTAAGTGCAGACATTCCCCAGAGGCATATATTGTGTCTTTGGTCCCTTTGTCCCTTCCATCCACTAATCACCCACAAAACACCTCAAACAGCACCTTCTGCCACAAAGGCTGCAAATGAACAGTTCATTCTGGTGCAATTTGGGGTTGCATGTGGCCTCTAAAATTCTTTCCACTGCTCTAAGTCATTCTGTTTCAGATGCTGATTCCAACTGCTTGAAAACAAGTGGCATCAAAAGTCAAGATTGTCACAGTCATAGTCGAACAAGTAAGTGCAGAGACGCCATGTTTCATTTCTAACTTCTTGAGACCATTCCACCTTAGCAAGCTTCAACGCTGAGCGTTTGAGTGGACACTCAGCTTCTCCAGGAAAGCAGGAGAGGGATGAATGATTGCTTTCATACCTGTTATCAGAATCAGGGATATTTCTGTTCACTTGACCATGGCATTGTAAGAATTGAAGTGGGGACGCAAAGAAATGTTCGAATCGTATTGTATTTCTGAGTAAGGGTTTTCATTTTTCCCAGTCCACTATTGGGTCTTCTCTTGAGGTACTCAAGGGAGAAGAGTGAAGAAAATGTCAAGTGTTGGCCTTCCTGAGAGCCTTTCCCAGAACTAAGAGATGTCCCCAGGGCAGAGTTAAGCCACACTCCACAGATTGGTGTGTAGAGAACAATCATTCCATGCTCGGCACGGTTCTAACCACTTGCTATGTCTTCAGTCATTAAATCCTCTAACCTATCCTATGGCATAGGTTCTCTTATTATCCCACTTCACAGATAAACTAACTAGAGGGATCGCAGTTACAGAACTTGGAGGAGACAAATGCAGGACCAAAAAACCCAGGTAGTCAGACCCCACACCCAGTCCTAACCACACTCTCACGGAACAAGCGAAATGCCAACTTTTCTTGAAAAATGAAATTGCAGAGCAGTTGTGGCTGCAAGATCTCAGTTCAACAATAATGCCTGTCAGAAAGGAGAATGAAAAGATCATTTCCCTCAGCCCATTAAGAACTAACGTGTAGTTCTATCAGACAAGAACACTGTGAGCCACAGTGGTTCAGTCAGTGGAAATTTGGTGTTTCTGTATGTGTGTTTTGCTACTGCTTTGTTGGAAAAGTCATTTCACAGTTTGTAAAGCAGGCAAGTCAGACTAAGGAAAATTCTCATGGGTTCGTGAGAAGTCATACAATTCTCCACTTTAAAAATTATATATATATGTATATATATATATACATTAAAATATGTGTATTTTTTGTAGTTCAGTATTTTACCTTGATAAAGGGAACATTTTTTTAAATATATTTTAAGTAGCTAACTTTTTCCCTTCTTCCCAAAAGGCCTCCAAAGTTCTCACCTGTGGGAATTTGTTCGCGACTTGCTTCTCTCTCCTGAAGAAAACTGTGGCATTCTAGAATGGGAAGACAGGGAACAAGGTATTTTTCGGGTGGTTAAATCAGAAGCCTTGGCAAAGATGTGGGGACAAAGGAAGAAAAACGACAGAATGACGTATGAAAAGTTGAGCAGGGCTCTGAGGTAAGTTAATAGCATAAAATACCATGAGCCTTCAAAGACGGGTTATATAAAATGACCAGCCATAGAAAATTGCACTGTTTTTGCAGCTTTTTACTTGACAATGGAAAGGTCATTAGTTACAGGTGGGATTAGGGTTTGTAAGGTGACACGATGTCCTTTTTGTTCTTGGCAGCATTCCCCAGGGATCATTCTGAATCCAGGCCATCTTGTGTACACACACACACACACACACACACACACACACACACACACACACACAGCATGTTCTGAACTGAGTGTGGTGAAGTTTAGTCCTCAAGATGTCTGGGAAAGGTTTAAGTGTAAGTTGATAAGAGGGTGTGAAAATACCACGGTAACCAAAAGCCAGCCTTGTCACCTGAGAGGACTGAGGAGTGTTTAAGTTCTGTTGTTTTCCTGGGGTGCAAGCCCTCCCTGAATTTCTCTCCTGCTTGCTTTCACAGATACTACTATAAAACAGGAATATTGGAGCGGGTTGACCGTAGGTTAGTGTACAAATTTGGAAAAAACGCACATGGCTGGCAAGAAGACAAGCTATGATCTGCTCCAGGCATCACTCATTTTATGAATTTCTATCTTTTCAAACAATCAGATTGAAATAGACATTTGAAAGTCTTTAAAAAAAAAAAACAAACCTACAAACGTGCTGATAAAACCTCCACATCTCAGCTTACATTTGGATTCAGTTATTATCTACTTGGGGTGATGGTAGGATCTCTTAAGAAATCTCCCTCACCGCAAGGGGAAGAGGCACCTTGCTCAAACATTATTTCCCTAATGAAGTGTTCAGAGGCATAGCAGCCAAGGTCATTGGTGCTGTTTAGAGAGAAGGATTCAGTTCTGTGTCTCCATTAAAGACTTATCCAATCCTCCCTTCCCAAAAGTTCAAAGGTTCTCAGGTGTTAACCGAGGCAACTCACACAGGGAAAAAAATCATGGTTAGCTTGTAGTTTATAGTAAGAGAGGGTAAGACGTAAGACATGCATACTTTAGATTTTAAATCATTAAAGTCAAATTCCATAGGTGAGTTTCTTAATAAAAGAGCTAGGTCACAAAGCCAGGACCTAAATGGACTTAGCATAGTTTCTTACTCAGAACATCTTTTTGGCCACTTAGCAAAACTCCCACCACCATCCTTCTGAAGCTACACACTTACAATTAGCCACGTTTTGAACCACTGCTGAAATTAAATTCCCTCTTCCTCTAACTGGTGCCTTGGCATCAGACATGCAAAGAGCTGGCCAACAGACACTTGCATCAACTCCCAAATCACTATTCTTTCTGTGATTCAAGCGTCAGTGCGAGAAAATCAGAACTCACTGATTCTGTCTGGCAGTCAAAATGTTAAACTTTGTAGAGCTGGAAATGTCCCAATGACCTGTAATGGCCAATTAAATTGTGAGTCTCTTTTGGTTTTGTCTTCTTACCTGATGTGTACCCAAGCGCTAAGACATATTTCCTTGACAAAAATAACAACAGTGAATTTACAGCGATCAATGTTCGTGGGTTAGCGTCTGCACTGACGTTTTCTCATCGGTCACTGCTGTGTTAGTTGCTAGTGACCTACAACCAGGTGGACTGGCCCTGGAACTTGGATGTCACCAGAGCTGGGATTGTCGAGTGAAGAGGCACTGAACCACAATCCACTCTGCCGACCTCCATGCTTAGAGTTTAGCTTCTAAAGTAACTTGTTTTCAAAAAAAAATGTGAATTACTGTAAAATAATCTATTTTTGGATTCATGTATTTTCCAGGTGAATATAGTTTGTAAACAATGTGAATAAAATATTTAACGTTATTCAACTGTCTCTGTGTTGCTCAATTCAGCATGGCAAGCTCAGCGAAGTACTGACATCCTATAAAGCCTTTGATGACCTATTTCCTAAAAGATGGGGAATTGGTTTTTAAAGAGCCCAAAAGAGATGCAGGAAATATACAGAGTGATACTGTCTACCACCTTCAATATCATAAAGTAAAGGTTCCCATTACAAAATGGAGCTCATGGGCTTCTGTAACTGACAGATGTATTTCTGTTTGATGCACACACAGCACGTTTATTTATTTTTTGTTTAATGTTTTGAGGTTGTGTTTTATTTCTTCCTGAGAATTCATTATATTATTTAGAGGTCAGATTTACATAAAAACCCAGACTTTTAAGGCTTGGGGTGTGGCTTAAGTGGTAGAGTACCAGCCTAGCAAGTGTAAGACCCTGAGCTCAAACCCCAATACCATCATAAAAAATCCAGGTTTCAACCTTCCTCTTCCTCTTCCTCTTCTTTTTCCCCTTCCTCTTCTTCCTCCTCCTCCTGTCCCCCCCCTCCTCCTCCTCCTCCTCCTTCTTCTTCTTCTTCTTCTTCTTCCTTCTCCTTCTCCTCCCTCCTCCTCCTCCTCCTCCTCCTCCTCCTCCTCCTCCTCCTCCTCCTTCTTCTCTTCTTCACTGGTGAGCTCAGGGCCTCACCTTGGCTAGGCAGGCACTTTACCACTTGAGTCACACTGCCAGCCCTCTACCTTCTTTTAAAAAATCAGATCTAGTAATGTTAGTCTCTTAGTCTTTTGTGGCATTAATTTTCTGGATCTCAGTGGAAGATGTACCTTTGATCAAAGCATTTGGTCACTTCCTACTGCTTTTTGGACATGAGGTCATCAGCCATTCTACTTTGTTCTTGCACTATGGTTTCTGGTTTGGGCTTTGGTTTTTCACACATCCAGAACACTTTTATATTTTGAATTTGGGACCCCTTCCTTGGCCATCTGAAGAGGTAACTACCACATTAAGAAACTGAAGAAAAGCCCACAATAGGCCGAAAGAAGAAATTGTCCAGGGAGTTGGACATTAGCTCACAGGGGGACAGTTGGAGCTTTGGAGCAAAGGGCTTGGCAGTGAAGGCATGGCAGGAGTGGTAGGCACTGAGGCAGGCAGAAGAGGGCCAAGAAGACAGGACTGAAAGTAACATGCTGCTGAGTTATGCTGCTCCCTTTGCCCCACCTCCACACATACACACATCAGCAATCCAGAGAACAACAGCAAAAATTAATCCTTCTGCTACTCAAGAAGTTTCCATTTTACGAAAGCATTAAATCAGCATCTTTGTTGTATTAGCTTCCTAGGCCTGCCCATGGCAAATTGCCAAAGTTAGTGTCCTATAACAAAAATATTCTCACAATGCTGGAGGCTGGGAGTCTGAAATCAAGGTATTGCCAGAGTCATACTCCCTCCAGAGGCTGTAGGAAAGAATCTCCCCTTGCCTCTTCCAGCTTCTGGTGGCTCCAGGCATTCCTTGGCCTGTGGCTACAAAATTCTAATCTCTTCTCCCATCATCATGGCCTGCTCCTCCTCACTTAGATGGACACTTACCACTGGATTGGGGACCCACCTGGATAATCAAGATAAGCTCATCTTGAGATTCTTAACTTAATGATAATCTGCCAGGGCTCTCTTCCAAAAGGACTGCAGGAGTTAGGACACCGATACATCTTCAGGATAACCATCATTCAACCCACCACATTCTTTAAAGCAAGAGTTTTACTTAAGCAAATGACTCCATAATATCATTCATTAAAGGACAGAAAATGCAAGGGATGTTTAATCCATTATACTTTATGCAAACAATGCCAAATCAAAAGGGCAAAAGATGAAAACAACAGACAATGCAAAATTCACTTATGGAGCAGAGAGCACAAGTGCTTTCTTTAGTAAGGATCCGAAATACGGCTGTCCATAACAAACTTTCAGTATATTAATGTGTCATTGTTTAAATGTTTCAAACATCCAAAATTGCATAGAACTTTTTGAGTTCATTTATTTTAACCTTTCACATCTTTCAAAAGTCCGAAAGGGATTTAAAAACCTCCTTTTGTCTTTTTTTTTTTTTAAAGGATGGACTTTTATTAAAAAAAAAAAGTCTTTCAAGGACTACAAATTACAAAGTAAAAGCAAATCACTACTATCAGTTATAATGCTCTTAAGGTTACTATATCTTTATTTCAAATTATATTGCATGTTTTTCCCTCAAGACGAACTTTTATTTTTTTATTTATTTTTTCTTTTATTATTCATATGTGCATACAAGGCTTGGTTCATTTCTCCCCCCTGCCCCCACCCCCTCCCTTACCACCCACTCCGCCCCCTCCCTCTCTCCCCCCTCAATACCCAGCAGAAACTATTTTGCCCTTATTTCTAATTTTGTTGTAGAGAGAGTATAAGCAATAATAGGAAGGAACAAGGGGTTTTGCTGGTTGAGATAAGGATAGCTATACAGGGCATTGACTCACATTAATTTCCTGTGCGTGGGTGTTACCTTCTAGGTTAATTCTTCTTGAACTAACCTTTTCTCTAGTTCCTGTCCCCTTTTCCTATTGGCCTCAGTTGCTTTAAGGTATCTGCTTTAGTTTCTCTGCGTTAAGGGCAACAAATGCTAGCTAGTTTTTTAGGTGTCTTACCTATCCTCACCCCTCCCTTGTGTGCTCTCGCTTTTATCATGTGCTCATAGTCCAATCCCTTGTTGTGTTTGCCCTTGATCTAATGTCCACATATGAGGGAGAACATACGATTTTTGGTCTTTTGGGCCAGGCTAACCTCACTCAGAATGATGTTCTCCAATTCCATCCATTTACCAGCGAATGATAACATTTCGTTCTTCTTCATGGCTGCATAAAATTCCATTGTGTATAGATACCACATTTTCTTAATCCATTCGTCAGTGCTGGGGCATCTTGGCTGTTTCCATAACTTGGCTATTGTGAATAGTGCCGCAATAAACATGGGTGTGCAGGTGCCTCTGGAGTAACAGTCTTTTGGGTATATCCCCAAGAGTGGTATTGCTGGATCAAATGGTAGATCGATGTCTAGCTTTTTAAGTAGCCTCCAAATTTTTTTCCAGAGTGGTTGTACTAGTCTACATTCCCACCAACAGTGTAAGAGGGTTCCTTTTTCCCCGCATCCTCGCCAACACCTGTTGTTGGTGGTGTTGCTGATGATGGCTATTCTAACAGGGGTGAGGTGGAATCTTAGTGTGGTTTTAATTTGCATTTCCTTTATTGCTAGAGATGGTGAGCATTTTTTCATGTGTTTTCTGGCCATTTGAATTTCTTCTTTTGAGAAAGTTCTGTTTAGTTCACTTGCCCATTTCTTTATTGGTTCATTAGTTTTGGGAGAATTTAGTTTTTTAAGTTCCCTATATATTCTGGTTATCAGTCCTTTGTCTGATGTATAGCTGGCAAATATTTTCTCCCACTCTGTGGGTGTTCTCTTCAGTTTAGAGACCATTTTTTTTTCTTTTGATGAACAGAAGCTTTTTAGCTTTATGAGGTCCCATTTATCTATGCTTTTAGTTGCTGTGCTGCTGGGGTTTCATTGAGAAAGTTCTTACCTATACCTACTAACTCCAGAGTATTTCCTACTCTTTCTTGTATCAACTTTAGAGTTTGGGGTCTAATATTAAGATCCTTGATCCATTTTGAGTTAATCTTGGTATAGGGTGATATACATGGATCTAGTTTCAGTTTTTTGCAGACTGCTAACCAGTTTTCCCAGCAGTTTTTGTTGAAGAGGCTGCTATTTCTCCATCATATATTTTTAGCTCCTTTGTCAAAGACAAGTTGGTTATAGTTGTGTAGCTTCATATCTGGGTCCTCTATTCTGTTCCACTGGTCTTCATGTCTGTTTTTGTGCCAGTACCATGCTGTTTTTATTGTTGTTGCTTTGTAATATAATTTGAAGTCAGGTATCGTGATACCTCCTGCATTGAAAAACAGATGAGAATTTAAATGGAACAGAATAAAAGACCCAGATGCAAACCCACTGAGCTATAGCCATTTTATTTTTGATAGAGGAAACCAAAACATTCAACAAATGGTGCTGGGAAAACTGTATATCCAACTGTAGAAGATTGAAACTCAAACCTATTCTCTCACTCTGTACTAGTATCAATTCAAAGTGGATCACAAATGTTAATGTAAGACCTGAAACTATGAAAGTACTATAGGATAGAGAAAACACTGGAACATTTAGGCATAGGTAATAACCCTATGAATGGAACTTCAATAGCTCAGCAATTAAGAGAAAGGATTGACAAACGGGACTGCATTAAACTAAGAAGCTTCTTCACAGCAAAGGAAACAGTCACTAGACTGAAGAGATAGCCTATAGGATAGGAGAAAATCTTTACCAACTATACATCTGGCAAGGGATTAATAACTAGAATATACAGGAAACTCAAAAAACTAACCCCACAAAGAATCAACAACCCAATAAATAAATGGGCAAATGAATTGAATAGACAGTTCTCAAAAGCAGAAATACAAATAGTCAGTAAACACATGAAGAAATGTTCAACACTCTTGGCCATAAAGGAAATGCAAATCAAAACACTGAGATTCCACCTCACTTCAGTCAGAATGGCTACCATCAATAACACAAACAACAATCTCTGGTGGGAACATGGGACAAAGGAACCCTTATCCACTGTTGGTAGCAATGCAAATTAGGACAACAACTAAAAGTAGACCTACCATATGATCCAGTGTTACCATTCCTGGGCATAGACCTGAAGGAATATAAACCAGGATACAAAGAGACACTTGCACACCCATATTTGTTGCAGCATTATTCATAATAGCCAAGCTGTGGAAATAGCCCAGATGTCTACAACTGATAAATGGATTAAGAAATGTGGTATATATGCACGATGGAGTATTATTCAGCCATAAAGAAGAATTAAATTATGTTGTTTGCAGGTAAATGGATAGAATTGGAGAACATCATGTTAAGTGAGTCAAGCTCAGAAGAACAAAGGTCACGTTTTCTCTCATATGTAGGCACTAGACCTAAAAAATACATGTGTACATAAATGCACACACACACACACACACACATATATATATATATATATATAGAGAGAGAGAGAGAGAGAGAGGACATTATTATAATAGTGGGTCTGTCTGAGAGGACAAGTGGAAGGTGGGAGAGGAAAAGAATGATAGAGTAAATAATAATGAATACATCTCATCTGTGTATTAAAATAGTATAATGAAACAGAAAACTGTTGAATAATGGGGAACAGGGTGACAGAAAAAGTCTAATAAAGGGGGCTAATCTGATTAAAGTATAATACGTACACATGTGAAATACCACAGCAAAACCCCTGTACACACACTAAAATTAAAAAAAAAAGGGACACAAAGGTAAAACAGGTTTGGTGCTGGGATAGGTACGAGTGGGAGGGGACAGGGTAAATGGAAAGGGTGAAGCAAGGTGAATACAGTTGATGCATTTTGTATAAGTGTATGTAAATAAACACTGAACTGTGGGGGTGTAAGGTGGTGAGGGAGAATCCTGGAGGGGGTGAACCTCTCAACATACACTGTAAGCACATATGTAAATATCATAACACCCCATGTACAACTAATATATGCTAATAAAAATGTGAAAAGAAAGAGTGTTTGGGTTGACAGATTGAAGGTTTCAGTAGAGCTGAAAAACTAATGAGTGGGAGGGGAAGTGAGCAGTAAGTAGCTTACCCACACGCTTACATGGCCTCTGTGGGTGCAGTATGGTCCCTCGCACTTTGCCTTTGGGCTTAGCCAGGTGACTTGCTTTGACCAAGGAAACATTAATAGACATGATTTGAACAAAAGCTTGAAAGCACTAGTCACCTAAGAGGAGACCAGCCTAGATCAGCCAATCCCCAGCCAACTTGGACACAAGTGAAGTGGTTTGTTATGAAGCAATGGCTGACCAAGGTAGGGCACTGGGAGGACTGAGCTAGAAAGATATGGTTGTCAAAGTCAAACGTAATGAGTAATCATGACACAGTTGTTCCTCAGGAGACAGGAACTCTATTTGTCATTTAGAGGAGAGAAACAAGCACTCAGGAGTAAAGCCACCTTCTCAAGTTTCCCCAGCCAGAGCTTCATGTTTACCAAGGTCTATTTTACTCTAAGGGTACTATAATATACTGCTTCTCACTCTTTTTATCCTCCTTAGAAATTTGGTTTGAAAACTCTTAGGATATATCTTAAAGTTGCATAATTAGACAGGAAGTTAAACCTAACTGGTAAAAATTAATTTCATAATTGCTGTCATTGAAATCCAATAAGAGGTCTTTAGAGAGCTGGGTTTGGTGGTGCACATCTATAACCCAGCTAATTGGGAGGCAGAGATAAGAGGATAGAAGTACGAGGCCAGTCCAGGTGAAAGCTTGAGACCCTATCAAACACAAACTAAAGCAAAAAGAGCTAGGGGCATGGTTCAAGTGGTAAAGCATTTGCCTAGCATGTGTGAGGACCTGAGTTCAATCCCTAGCACAACAACAAAAAAGTCTCTGAGGAGTATTGGATATTTACATGCTAGGAACATGCTACATCCATGTGGTTTTAAATATCAACTTATTTTTAGACTACAAAATATAATTTTTTTTCATTTTTCTTTTATTATTCATATGTGCATACAAGGCTTGGTTCATTTCTCCCCCCTGCCCCCACCCCCTCCCTTACCACCCACTCCGCCCCCTCCCTCTCCCCCCCCAATACCTGGCAGAAACTATTTTGCCCTTATTTCTAATTTTGTTGTAGAGAGAGTACAAGCAATAATAGGAAGGAACAAGGGTTTTTGCTGGTTGAGATAAGGATAGCTATACAGGGCATTGACTCACATTGATTTCCTGTGCGTGGGTGTTACCTTCTAGGTTAATTCTTTTTGATCTAAACTATCTCATGAACTCTACATCTTTGTGTATATAAAGACATACTCAAATAACCTCCCTCCCAATCGTCAAGTACATTAATTTTTATGAGTTTATCTTACAGATCTAACACAACAGACAGTAAAGTCACTGTTTTGACAGCATTTGCCATTGAGTGCAAATGCATAAATTCTTACTTTCTTCCTTCTCTTTTTGTGGTACTGTGGCTTGAACTCCACCAGCCTTGAGCCACTCCACCAGCCCTTTTTTGTGAAGGGTTTTTTTTGAGATATGGTCTTGAGAACTATTTGCCGGGGCTGGCTTTGAACTAAGGTCTTCCTGATCTCTGCCTCCTGAGTAGATAGGATTATAGATGTGAGCCACCAGTGCCCAGCTACAAATTTACTTTCTTTGTCTACAAACAGAACAGCTCGAAAGCGCTCAAATGCAGGAGGAATCAGGCAGGAGAGTGTGACAGGATGTCAAGAAACTGGCGATAAAAGAGCAAGAGTTTGTATCTAGTGGCCTCATGACTTTGTGAAGTCCACATCTCAGGAAATTCCGGAGAGCGGGCACAGACTGGTTTTTTCTTTATTTGTTTTGCAGTGCTTTGTGCATCTAAGCAAGTGCCTTACCACTGAGCTATATCCCCGGCCAATTTTTTTTTTTTTTTTGGAGGCAGGGTCTTGCTAGGTAGCTCAGGCTAGCCTTGAATTTTTGATCCTCCAGTCTCTGCCTCCTGGGTGCTGAGATTAGTGGTGTGCACACAAAGTGGTTTTGAAAATGAAGGGAATGAGGATTTTCAAGAAAAATGAGTTTTCATTTCGTATTCAAAATTCACGTTTGAAGTCTTCCATGTGATTTGAAAGCATAATAGGCTGAGTTAAAAAAAAAACAGAAAATAACTAATAGTTCTGAAGGTATTTATTTATTTATTTTGCAGTACTGAGATTTTAACTCAGGGCCTACACATTGAGTCACTCCACCAGCCCTATTTTTTTGTGATGCTTTTTTACAAGATAGGGTCTCACGAACTATTCACTTGGGCTGGCTTAGAACCATGATCTTCCTGATCTCAGCCTTCTGAAAAGCTAGGATTACAGATGTGAGCCACCAGTACCTGGCTCTGAAGGTTTATTTTAAAAACTCACAAGAAGTAAGCGAGCTAATGAACAAAAGATCTAAGTAATCATCAGTCAAGCCGTTTGCTGTTTTCTAAGTTTCCTAGAAGTTTCTAAGTTTCAAAAGTTTAAGCAAACAGCACAGTGTCTTCATGATATTGTCCTTCCATTCTTCAAGGTAAACAATGGATGCTCCTCAAATTATCTGGTAGCACATTCCAAGTTATATATGGGGTCAAAAGAAATCAAACACCATTCTAATTCTTACATATAGATTATTTTATTGTAAAAATGTAAGCAATTACAAATCAACCCACTGTAAAATCAATGCTGTGTTAACATAAACATAATTTCAAGTGAGAGAAAATGAAGCTGACCAACAAACATCAGGGAATAAACACCAAACTATGATGGTGCTGAAGTTATTCTCAGAAGACATTGATGCACTGAGTGTGTTTTTCCTATAAGGATCTTAGAAAAATAAAAATTTCCAGTTGAGTCATTTTTATCTTTTCTTCTTGTATAATTCAGTCATATTTTTATAAAATAGGCCATAGAGGTGACATGTAAACATACTAATCTCACCAAGATTTTTTCTAGTCCGATAAAGTCATATTTCTGACTAGAAACTTTCCTTTTAAATGTAGTTTAAATGAATAATCCAACCAACTGTCAAAGGCAAATGCATGTTTCTATTAAAAGATTGTTAAGCCCTAACCTTCATTTTCCTCTAGGGAGAGAAAGAACATTATAAAAGCCATTGCTACATCATTTGCTATAGGAATCTGGATTACCATTTTAAAGAGATTAGCTTGCATTTGTGCATCAAGCACAGGAGAATCTTCCATGCAGGCACGAGTGATTCACAGGTGTGAGCATTTATGCCTTGTTTCACAGCCCGGGCTCAGCAAGGAATGGGCCGCCAGCCTCACAGGTTGGCTTTCTCCTTTGCAGCCAGGTGAGAGCCTGCCTGCTCATAGGTGTGGATTGCGTTCTGTTTTAAAACAAAAGCAGCAGGTTAATGAACTCAAAGCAAGCAGCAACTTGCTATTTCTCTCTGCTTCTTTTTTTTTTCTTTTCTTTTTGCAGTACTGGGGCCTGAACTATTCTACCTCCCCTTTTTTTTGCATGTTGGATATTTTTGAGATAGGGTATTGCAAACTATTTGCCAAGGCTGGCTTCTAACTGTGATGCTTCTGATCTCTGCCTCCTGAGTAACTAGGATTATAGGAATGAGCCACCAGCACCTTGCTCTCTTTACTTTAACTTGTGCCCAAATAAAAATAATTCAGAAATCATTCACTGTAAACTGTTTTTTATTGTCCAGAGCTAAAGTAAAGAGTATATATTTCGTAGGAAAGTTCCTTATATCTCAAAAGAGCTTCTCAACAGCTGCTTGAGAGATCTCTTGGTTGTGGGTAGTGGTCCCTGAAAATAATAATGCCACCTGGAAACCAAACTCTGTCTGCTTTAAGCCAGCCCACACATCCCCTGCCACAGCCAAGCTGGACTGGGCTCACCTTTGGCTTCTCAGCATTGTATTTATCCAAGAGAGCCTGGATTTGGGCCCCGTAGTCAGGGTGGACATCACTGAAATTCTTCACCTAGAACCAAAGAAAAACAGACATAAGCATTCCCTAATGCTCCACTATGCCATTCCCCAGTGTCTCTCTCTGTCCCACTGTGTGTACTCACAAGAGGAGGAAGGATGTCTCAGAAGGAGCACCACACAGTATTTAACAAGATCTTAGAGTAAGACTTGGGGATCCAGAGAAAACTGCCATAGCTGGTGAGTAACCTTGGGTAAGTTGCTTTTCTCATCTTCAGTGTCCCCTTCCCTAAATGATCAAGGTAAGTGTGTCTACATGGTATCATAGGAAAAAATCAAATATTTGGTCTTTGTCTCACACTCCTGGCACACAGCTCTCGAAAACCATTGGAATTTACTGTCATCTGTGTGCTACTAAGGTGACTCATGGAGGCCTATAGAGATTCAGGATGGAGCTGGTGCTAGAAAGACCAGGTATGTGATTCTGGCCCCTTCCCTGGACCCCCACGGGGGGAGAGGGGCTGAAGATTGTGTTCAATCACCATGGTCAATGATTTAGTCAGCCATTCCTTAATGAGACCTCCTTAAAAACTCCTAAATGACAGACACCAGAGAGCTTCTGGTGGGAGAATGCATAGAGGTGCTGGGAGGTGACACACCAGAGGACACAGAAACTCCAAGCCTTTGTTGCACACTTTGCCTTACACATCTCTTCCATTCTGCTGGTCCTGAGTTGTATCCTTTATAATGAATGGGTAGTCCTAACTAAAGCGCTTCCCTGAGTTCTATGACTCATCCTAGCAAATTATCAAACCCCAGAACTTGCGGAAGTACAGGTAGCCAAAGTACTTCATCTGCCATCCAAAGTGGGAAAGTGGGAACAGTCTTGTAGGGCTGGCCCCTAAGTCAGTGAGTTCTAACACTAACTCCAGGGATTATTGTCAGAATTGAATTGAATTGTGGGATACCCAGTTACCGTCAGAGAATTAGAGGACTGCTGGTCACTGGAGGGAAAAACCACACATAGAATATTGAGAAAAATGCCCATGAGATGAGTTGTATTTACTACATATAAAGAGGGACCTCAGAGTATCTTCTTAAAACTTTATAGTAAATAATATGAAGAAATGGGCCAGGCATTTTCAGAATTTAAAGTGAAGGATACAAAGACACAGGTACCAGCTGGGCAACTGCACATACTTCAGGCAGGAGGAGGTGGGGCACCACCAACCCATATGAAGCCTTAGTTTCAGCATATGTCAGAGATGACTGCCATGAATGTGAGTCCAGTCCTGCTACTTACAAGCTGTCTTGCCCATTCTTATCATAACTTGAGACAAAACCTGCCCTGCCTATCTTGCAGAGCCTCAGTCTCTCTGCAGGTTCATGACGCAGGCCCTTGAACACATCCCAGACAGCTGACATAGAAGTAATCAAGGCACAAAGAAATAGCTGAATCCCTAGACTTACAAAAAGCATGTGCCTGTGGCAGGCCAGGAAACCAGAGGTCAGAGGGGTTCATGTACTCAGTGAGCACCTGTCAGAAATACCCTAGCCCCTTAGCTCAAAAGTTCACCCTGCTTTTGAAAGCAGCTTAATTCTCACCCACGCAAAAACAGGCAAGCTTCTACTTTGTGCCTGAAAGAGGGTCAAGATGTCATGATACTAAGCCTTTAAACAGCTTCAAATCAAAAAACTGTCTTCTATAAATATGTATTTTTTATCATCTAAACCTCAAGCACAACTGTGGTAGAGTCACATTTTGCTATCAGACACCGACCGTTTTGCATAGAACTTGGCTGCAGTTGAATTAGACAACATAGGAGAGAATTTATCCTGATCTCAACGAAATTATCACACATCGGATGAATGGCTAAGAATCATCAGACATGTCACACCAGACAAAACACAGAACAAAAGCAATCAGAGGTTGATTGGGGATTTTAAACGATACTTCCAAAGTTCTCCCACACCGCTGTACTACCTCCTTGAGCCAGCAGATGTCACCCTTCAGCTTATAAAGATTGACTCACCGCTTTCTTCTGGATGAAAAGTTGTGCGTCTTTCAGATGGCCAGCAATGTTCTCACACAGGCGTTTCCTCTCCTCTTCATTCAGCACACTTGTATAGAATGTCCGCACCTGCTCAGCCACACGGGAGAGCAAAGAATCAAACAGCCAGTTTAGCTGGGCACTGGTGGCTCACGCCTATAATCCTAGCTACTGGAGAGGCTGAGAGCAGGAGGCTCACAGTTTGAGTCCAGTCCAGGCAAATAGTTTGCCAGCCAGCCCCTATCTTGAAAATACCCAACACACACACACACACACACACACACACAGGCTGGAAGAGTGGCTCAAGTGGTAGAGCACCTGCCTATCAAGGTGAAGCCCTGAGTTCAAACCCCAGTATCATCAAAAAAACAGAAAGCCAGTTTATCACAAGCAAAACTCACCAAATGCCAGTTTTGAAATGTTTAATTTAAGAATAATATAAAATTATAATTTAAACTTTCCTTTGTGTTGTTCTTACTTTGATTTGCATTCATTTGTTGATAGTACTCCTCACTACTTTTCATATTTTTTTTTGTAATCACTGCTTATAAATCTCTTAAATACCAAGCCTACAATTAAAAGCCACAGCACATTCTTAATACTGACAAGTCCAGAGGGTGCAAGCTGTCTTTTGGTGTAAACTTGGCAGAATGCAACCTTTGGTCAATTTACTCAGAACCATGGAGAATTAAAAAAAAAAAAAACTGATTCATTTATATGCCTTTATATCTGTAATTTTTGAGAAGCCAAGATTTCTTGGGCAAGATGTTATTAACTATGATATTTTGCATGATCATTGGGGTTACCTTTAAAATGAGTACAATAGATTAAAATGAAAAATAATAACTTAGTGCCATGTATATGAATCCAGTACCTCTGCTCAGTTCTGGAATCAACCATTTTTAGGCTCTAGCTATGGTTTTATTCTAACATTTTGTTCATTCATTCACCAAATATTTATTGAGCACCTGTAATATGCCAGACTTTGCTATATGAATGATTCCATTAATGTTTATAAAGTCTAATAATGCCCACTTATTCAAATGATAAAATTAACAAAATATTGATATGCATAATTTTTCTAAGTTACCAAATATCAGACTATACTTAAATTTTATTTAAAATTTTGCATCAAAGTTTAAGTTTGATACCAAAATTTAAAAATCCGTCTTTCCATATTAACACAATCCAAAGTACTCCACCTTGGAGACTTCCTCAGATCTAGCTCCAATTCACTAATTCCCTCCTAGCTGTACTTGACATATTGTGTAAGCATCCCCTGCATCTTTCATCTGTTCAACTTTTATTTCAAAAACTGTATTTTTTTGTTTCTAGAAATTTCTATTTGGTGGTTTTCCAACTCTGCCTTTTTTTTTTCTTTCTCACATCCTGTTATTGTTTACAGATACTCATTTTTGTATCTCCTTGAATCTGTATACATACTTATTTTTAAGCCACTTTCAGATTATCCTGTATATCATTCATCCATCAGGACTTTAGATGTCTTTGCATGTATTATGATTTTTTCCCTGTGACACATCTTCAACAGGAATTACTTTAGGCATTAGTACAAAATGTACCCTATTTGTGAAGATGTTGATGATTATTTCATCAACTCTGCAAAGGTCTAAAAGGATTCTCTGATGTACTTGTTTCTCAGTTCAGGGCTTCTAGACGGCTTGAAGTGGGACAGAATGCAGAGACTTCACTTGAGCATAGCAGGGTGGGGAAGGACTCCCAGTTTCTCAGTATTGATTGTCTCCATCTAGAGTTCACACACTTCCAAGCTGCATTCTCATCTGGTGGTAGTTTCTCCAACAGGGTGCTCTTTCCTGGTCCTCACCTTAGACCAAGAAACCAGTTCTAGCTCTCTGCAACACATGAATCCTGCAGCCTCAACTCAACCCTTGGAGACACAAATCTTCACAAGGGACAAATCAGTTCACATTACCGCCATGGGACAAATACCTCCAATATTCACTCATTACTGTGACTCTTATTTTCATCTCTGGGACTTGAAAATAGTGTAGTTTTTAGCTGAGCAACATTTTTTTCAAAATGTTTAATCTATAGGTTGATGTGTAAGAAAGAAAAGAAAGGCCACGTGGCCTATGTCACTTCAATTTACCATCCTCGACTAAAAGGGATTTGTTACTGCATTTCCAGTGGTGCACTGCAGCCAGCTTGTCATAAAAATGATGGTCAAATTTTCAGGAATTTTGTAAGCAAGTTACCACCCCTATTTTTTTTTTGCGTGAACTGGGTTACAATCCATAGCCTTGTGCATGCTCCGCAAGCACTCTACCACTGAGCTGCATCCCCAGCCCTTTGTAACGATTAACAATTGTAACAATTAAATTATGTATGCTTACAATTAAGTTACAGCACAAACAAAAATAAATACCTTCTACTGAGTACATTCCACCTATTTGAAGTTATTTATATCTACCATGCTCTTAGGTGGAAATACCACAGAACAGGGATATTGAGCATCACTTCTCAATGCCACAGGCTCCAAGATATCATGTTGGGACCTTAAAATTTGCACTGGGGAATAGTCCCACATGAGAAATGATAAGCACTGCAAACCAGAGCCTTCTCCCCCAGAGACACAACTATTAGATACATATGAACATGACAACCTAAAATATTTGCTCTTCTAGACATTCGGTCAATTTATGGTTTTAAGAAGTGGAAAAAAAAAAAAGGTACCATGCATATACAAAGATAAACAGCATGTGGCCTAAGAAGACATCATGAATAGTCTGAACAGTAGTCCTTAGGACCTGTTCCTGGCTTTAGCACTCACTACTGTTCAGGGAAAGGCAGACTGGGCTCTGAAGAACTCACACTGGAGGACTCCACAGTGATCTGACCTACTTATTCTAACGCATGGCTAAGGACCCATCTCTCCACAGCTCAGTTGCTCGCTGCAGGAAGGCATGGACTCCATCAACATGACAGCTGTTCTAGCTGGCTGACCAACTAAGGATTCTGAGCCACTTTGTCAGCTCCATACTGTAGTCCATTAATGGCAGGACCAAATTCCATTTTTTAAAAAAGTGACTCTTTTTACTAATCAATACAAAGTAAGAGGGTTTCCCTTTAATAGGCTTTTTAAGTGTAACATGCCTACAGTAAAGGGCAATACTCACAAGTGTGAAGTTAATGATATTTCAGTGAACACAACTGTGTAACAACCACTCAGATCAAGATAGAACAATACTCACATCTCACAAATCCCCCCACCATGGCCCCTCCCAGGCACTATCCCCTTTTTCTCCTCAGAGACAATGTTTTGGATTTCTAATATCATAAATGCATTTTGGCTCTTTTTGATATTTACATATACAGACTCAGACAGCTTACAATCTTTTTGTCTAGGCTTTTTTGCTGTATGTCATGTCTGTAAGATTCACCTGCTTTATTGCTTATTGCATCAGTTCACTAATTTCCACTGCTACTCATTGTAAGAATGTACTACTGTTTATTTACCCATTCTTCTGTTAATGATCATTTGGGTAATGTCAATAGTTTTGTCGTGTCTTCTGGCAGTCATATGTACCCAATTTGATTGGGTATCAATGAAGAGTGTACTTGCTTGATCAGAAGGCTCACATATGCTCAGTTTTAATTTTCCAAAATGGCTGAACCAGTAATGTACTCACGTGACAGTCAGAGCTGTTCCTTGACATCCCAAAAGATTGGGATGGCCAATCTTTTCAAGTCTAGCCATTCTAATATGCAGGTTCTAATATGTAGTTGTTCCTTTGTGGGGTTTTTTTTTTTTTTTTTTTTTTGCATATCACTGGTGACAAGCATTTTTCAGTCATTTAGCTATCTATCACTTTGGTGAAGGTTCTCTTTAAATCTGTGGCCCATTTTCCTATTCAGCAGTCTCTTTCCATATTGCTCTGTAGGAGTTCTTCACATTCTACACATGAATCGCTGTTAGAAGAATTGCAAATATACTCTCCCACGCTGTGACTTTCCTTTTCAATCTCTAAATGGTGTCTCATGAATAGTGCTTTTGTTTTCTGTCTTCAGGAGCTGAACTTGACATTTACTGCTCAACTTACAAATCACTAATCCCCTCTTCAGAGCTGTGCTAACTCCTTTTAGACTGATCCACTACAGTTTTATTTTCATTTATTGTACTTTCTAGCTCAGAATATGCATTCACCTTCTTTTGTTAATAGACTAAAGTTCTCTTATTAAGTTCTCCAAGTTGTCATCTTTCTTTTTTTCCCCTTTTTTCTTTTTTTTTTAACCATCCTGGGGTTTGAACCCATGGTCTTGTGCTCCTAGGCAAGTGCTCTGCCACTTAGGCCATACCCCCATCCCTTTTTGCTTTAGATTGTTTTTCAGATAGGGTTTCCCATTTTTTGTCCAGGGCTAGCCTTAGACCATGATCTTCCTACCTATGCCTCTGCCTAGCTCAAATTACAGATCTGAGACGGGGTGCCACTAAAATTTTGCCAGGGCTGGCCTCAAACTGTAATCCTTCTCATCTCCCCTGTCTCAAGACAGCTGGGATTGTAGGTGTGAGCCATTGTTCTTTGGCCTCATCTCTTTTCTTGAATACAACAATTGCAGTTATTTTAAAACCTGAATCTGACAGTTCCAATATCTGTAGTGGGTTTGCTTCTACTGTCAAGTTTATTTTTTTTCTTATCTTGAATCATAAGGTCATATGTATTAGGTGTGCCTGATAATTTAGTACTAAATGCTGTAAATTTGCCTATGAAAAAGTCTAAAGATCATTTGAGGTTCTACTTTCTACCAAAGATTCATTTGCTTCTGGCAGGTAGTTAGGATGGAGAGAGATCACTTATGGTATTATGATATATATATTTTTGGTTTTCATCCAGTTTTTTTCTGACTCATAGCTCCCTCCTCAAGGCAGGCCTTAAAAACTAGAATTTCTCTTCCTCAAGACAGGTCATCATTGCCTTTTCTGTCTTGTATCTGGCCATAAAGAAATTCTCTGTCTGATCTACCTTTGTCTGACAGTAAGTCATAACACCCTCCTTATCCCACAGAGGTCATGCCCCCACCTTAGAATGCTGCACAGACTGGGCTTACTGGGTTTCCCCTCCTGTCTATTTGCGTTAGATAAGCAATGAAGTCCCAATCTAAAAAACAAAACAAAAAAAAGAGCCTGGTTTGGAGACCTTCCAGATAGTTGAACACACAGAGATTCTTGGAGTGTGGGGCTCCTGGAGTAGACATGGAAGCTCGTGCCCCTTCTCCCATACCTGGTGCTAGGTAGTGGTTCATCAGCACTCTTTGTATTAAACTTTATAAGAAACTAAGAAACATGTCTCCCTGAATTCTTAAGCAAATTAACAGAAGCAAACCTGAGGAGGGGGTTCAGTCAGAAGCACAGATAAAACAACCTGGGGCTTGTTGCTGGCATCAGAAGTGGGGGTGTCTTGGGCACTAAGCCTTCCTGTGGGATCTACACTATCTCCATCCAGGCACACAGTGCCAGACTGAGGTAGATTAGAGGACTCCTGGCTGGTGTCCAGAGCAGAGAGGACTGCTGGTTTGCTGGTGGAGAGAAATCACCTTGTGAGGCCTCAGCAGTCTGTGTGTTGATTGTGGGGGTGTGAGAGCAGAGGGAAAAAAAGCTTGGGTTTTGCCAACACATCATCTTAATCCTGTCTGAGATGGAGGTGATGCAAAGCAGTGTTTCAGCCCTCATGAGGGCAAGTTGATTTGGGCTCTGATCTTCTTCCTTAGTGTGGCCCTTCAGAGACCCCAGCTGAAGGCTGGGGAGGTTAACTAGAGGCTCCCCTCTTCAGCACATCCTCTACTCCCAGTTTTGTCCTCCAGCCCATGAAACCACTATAGGCTGTGCTCAGAATCTTGAAAAATTCTTACACAATAATAAATGCCTTCAAGGGAGGACAATGACTGTCAGGCTGGCCTGGGCATAAAGTGAGACCATATCTCAAAATTAACCAATGCAAAATGGGCTGGTAGCGTGCCTCAAGTGATATGAATGCACCTGCCTAGCAACTGCAAAGCCAAGTTCAAACCCTAGTACTGCAAAAAAAAAAAAAAAAATTATTGAGAGAATAGTAAAAGGAGGAAAGAGGAAAGAAAAGAAAAGAAGTACTTGAAGAAAGAAGCAATAAAGGAGAATCAGGCCATGGGCAGGGCAAAAACACAGTGATGGTACAATGGAAGCCATGAAGCAGAGAGCAGAAAAATGGGAGGCCACAATAGAAACAAGGAATAAGAAGTGAAAAGCAGAAGCAGACAGCTGGAGAAAGCTGAGTCATATGCATGGTGAACCCTACAGTGGGACGGTGACAATCTCACTGCTCAGGCTCCTACAGCTATTTTAGTTGTTGTTGTTGTTTCATATTTTATCATACAAGGATTGAACGCAAGGCCTACATGCTAGGCAAGCACCACTGAGCGACATCCCCAACCCTCTACAGCTATTTTGGATCTCCACGGTCATACTGGAATCTATGCTGTCCTGCCAGACGCTTAGATTTGGCAGAGGTTATGCGGTACTTAGATCATTTTTCCCCAACAGCCCCCGACTGTACCCCTTCCATAAAAGTTAGGGGAACTGAGCTGAGTCTCCAGATCTTGAATGGAAAAAAACATGATAACACAGCTCTTTGACTCTATCCAATAAAGGTCTGGATTTACTATCAGAGATAAGTCTTTCCTGAACTCAAGACACATCAGACACTTTAAGAGGGGGAAATCTGCATGAACAAGGAGCATTAGCAAGTGACCTCCACAGCAGACAAGGAAGCCATTACCTGAGTGACATTATCCTCGTTGGCACTATTGAAGCGCTTCACTTCTGAAGAGCAATGGCTGCCGTGCTCCAGGGCCGAGCGCTGCTCTTGGGGAGCACTGAAGCTGTTGGGGTAGTAGTTTGGAGCACCACCTTTAAAGGAAACCACAGATTAACTTAGGAAGAAGAAAAATTAAGCAAGTCTGCAACCCATCGGTGTAGGAAGACATAAATTCAAGTGTAAGCTAACACATAAACACCCCCACACAGGCATATTCACACCACACGTGTAAATTTTCACTTCGGAGATTTAGCCACAGTCAGGGCTAAGAGCCTTGGAGAATGCCGCTCACATGGGCTGCCTCACCGAGTCTGCACAGAGACATCTCAAAGGTCGCTCAACACTTCAATGGTTCTCAGCTATAAAGTCTCCTGACATCCACACAAGGAGGAATTTTTAAAGATTTGATCTGGCCACTACTGAGATCAGATCCGAAGATACATTTCAAATTTGAGAGTTTCATTTGGACTTGGGATCCATTCAAACACTGAATCACAGAACTGTTGGGAGCAACCTGAGAACTCCATTTAAACCAAGTTTGGAGTTCCAAGATACTCACTGACTGCTGCCAGATCACCCAGGAGTTAGTGGTAGGTGGGGGATTAGAGCTTATGGTTTTTATCTCTTCCTCCACAGTATACATGGAACTCTGCTGCACTATTATTCCTTGTAAGATTTTAAGATTCTAAAGAAGCTGGATTCCTGTGACTCACACCTAGAATCCTAGCTACTTGGGAGGCTATCAGCAGGATTGCGGTTCAAAGCCAGTTCAGGCAAATAGTTCTCAAGACCCTACCTCGAAAAAACCCATCACAAAAGGTTAGATCGAAAAGAATTAACCTAGAAGGTAACACACATGCACAGGAAATTAATGTGAGTCAACTCCCTGTATAGCTATCCTTATCTCAACTAGCAAAAACCCTTGTTCCTTCCTATTATTGCTTATACTCTCTCTTCAAAAAAATTAGAGATAAGGGCAAAATAGTTTCTGCCGGGTATCGAGGGGGTGGTGGAGAGGGAGGGGGCAAGGTGGGTGGTAAGGGAGGGGGTGGGGGCAGAAATGACCCAAGCATTGTATGCACATATGAATAATAAAAAAATTTTAAAAAGAAAAAACCTATCAAAAGAAGAGGGCTGGTGGAGTGGCTCAAGGAATAGGCCCTGGGCTGGGATGTAGCTCAGTGGTACAGCGCTTGCTAGCATGTGCGAGGCCCTGGGTTCGATCCCGGCACCAAAAAAGAAAAAACAAACAACAAAAAAAAGGAATAGGCCCCAAGTTCAAGCACCAGTACTAAAAAAGAAAAAAAGAAGAAAACAGTCTGCAAGCAAAGTGGCTCAAGCCTGTAATCCCAGCTATTCAGGAGGTGGAGACTGGAAGGATCATTGTTGGAGTCCAGCCTGGGCAAAAAGTTAACAAGACCCCATCTCAACCAATAAAACACTGAATGTGGCAGCATACTCCTACATTCTAGCCATTCAACCTACATGGGAGGCATAGGTTGAAGAATCACCAACTAGGCTGGCCTAGGCAAAAACTCAAGACACTATTCAAAAAATAAATATCTAAAGCAAAAATGGCTGGAGGCAGGACTCAAGTGGTAGAGAGCTCACCTAGCAAGCATGAGACCCAGCCAAAAAGAAAGAAATTTGACAAATGTGCTCTAAGAAGTAAAACTTCAGTGGAGTCTCATCTAACCACTTGATTACATAAGTTCAACTACATTCACACAGGAAAAACAGAGGGGTGAGAATCTCTTTATTTCCTCTGCTTCCCCTTCTCCCCTCCCACTGCTCCTCCATGGCCTTAACAGACCTGAAAAAGAAGCAAAGACAGGAAACCCTTGGCCTTTGCATTTCCAAGAGTCTAAGTCCTGGTGTTTTAAGAGTGGTTTCAGAAAGTGCACATTTGGTAACTTAAATTGGATACACTCTACTGTAATCAGAGTGCAAGACCTTTCTGCCTGACTTCAACCATAGGAGGAACAGCAAGTAAAATCTGAGGTGGGAATTCTCAATAAAGTCTATAAAATAGACAGGATGGGAAGAATCCTCAGGAAGTTTAAACCTCAATGCTGAACAAAAAATCCTTGGATGCTGGCAGCACCTGTGGAGCACCAGTCACAGTCAGCATCACACCCCATCTGCTCTCCATGCCCTCAGCCCTTACAGGAGAGCCCAGTGTCTCCAGGCCTACCCTGATTGTCGTTCATGCACATGGGGCCGTCACGCTGGTAGTTGGCCACTCGAGCACGGTAGGGACAGTTCACAGGTATCTGGAGATAGTTAGGTCCCAGGCGATGGCGGTGAGTGTCAGGATAGGCGAAGAGGCGGCCCTACAGCAACAAGCACAGCTGACACTGAGTGGGGACAGTTATACATGAAAGAGGATGTGGGCTATAAAAGTCATTCTAAAATTTAAAGTACATGGTTCCCACAAAACCATGCCTGGCCCCCTCTAAAGAACCAGTCTCCTCTTCCCATAACTGAACTATCAGTCATCCACACAGGTGGCCCACCATAAACTTCACATCTACTCTAGCTTTTGCCCCCAAACAACAATAGTATCCTGTCTTTTTACTTTTCCATTCTGAAGGAAGTATTAAATTATAAAATAGATTTGCTGGAATCTAGACAGAATCCTGAATTAATTCTACACCTCCCATCTCCCACTCTAGAGGAAGGAATGGAGCATTTGCCTTTTAAACAATGGCTCATTTCTACAAAACCAACTGCATGGAAATTCTTCAAAGAAGCACCTCTCATCCTATATTCTGAATCATACTTGGAGCTCTGAGACTTCCTAGATGTAAACAAAGTATTACACAAACAAAGGCATGGCTAGAAATCCTGGACCTAATGTCAGAGGTGATGGATCCAAGATTAACTGATGTTACATATTAACCAAGGCAGGATGATAAGCATTTTGAAATCTCTTTCAGCTAAAAGCTCCATGATTAACTCTGCATTAGTTTAACATCCAATTATTGAAATAGTCTCATGCATCAACGTTCTATTCTACAATTTTTCTTCCTTGATTTTATCATTGGTTTTGAATCTTAAAAGGTATTCTTAAGACAAAATAAAAACCAAGTTCAATTGGCAATTTAAGCAATTATATTGTACCAAATCAATCACATCAATATGCCTAATCTGAGCCCTGTTCTGTCAATAACTTCCTCTCAGCTGAATGACTTTACCTCTCATAGTCATTTCAAATAGTCTAAGGGAACATTTGATGGCTGGTCCTGCAGCCACTACTCAACTCCAGCTATGGTTATGAAACTTTTTGCCTCAAGAAGTTGTGTTCCAACTTGATCGACAGGATAGAAGGTGCAATTGAGCCACCAGCTGTTCCTGGATGTTGCCTCAATCGTGTTATTCAGTTCTATCTCCCCTACTCCTCTCCCATGTTTCTTGGGCAACCCTACCCCATCTATGTGTGGAGATTCACAAGAATGTGAAATGGGCACAATGAGGTTATACCCTGACACCAGCTTGAATGTAGGCCTCACTCAAGGCCCCTTCCCTTGCTGGGTCTAGGGGAGAAAACAGAACAAGACTTTCCCACTCAGGCAATTGGCCCAACATCTTCCATAACTGCAAGCTGTAGAGTACAGGAGTAAAGACAGGCTGCACCTGCACTGTCGGGCACTCAGAGGATGGATGGTCCTTCTGTGACTTGTGTTATACTATTTTATCCCTTTCATGGTGATCTGGCTATCCTTAAAATCTATTCATACGACCTTGTTGAAAAGTAAATGAGAACACTCTCCAATTGCCATGGCCCATGCTCGGCACTTGTTAGATGTCTCAGGAATAACTTCAGCCCCCTACCCCACCCCAGCTTGCTCTCATTGTCAGTCCCTTCTCCAACAATACTATCTACATATTCCTGCCAAAGAATCTTTATAAGACCTTCCTCAAGATTATACTCCCTATGTACTCAAAAAGCTTTCAACAATGAGCTGGGAAGTTATAAGAAAAACTAGGCTAGGAATGATAGACAACTAGAAATCTATGAAAGCTCTTTCAAGTACTTTATTTATTTACTTATTTATTTTTGGTGGTTCTGGGGTTTGAACTTAGGGCCTCACACTTGCTAGGCAGGCGCTCTACCACTTGAGCCACTATATCAGCTCTTTTTGTGTTGGGTATTTTCAAGATAGGGTCTCCTGAACTATTTGCCAAATCTGGCCTCAAACTGCAGTCCTGATTTCTGCCTCCTGAGTAGCTAGGATTACAGATGTGAGCCAGTGGCACCTGGCACTTTCAAATACTGTTTAAAAACTCATTTTAAAAACTATACAGGACATGCTAAATTTAAAATATGTATGCACATGTGTGTGTGTGTATATCTCAGAACTGAAATTACTGTTAATACTAGTAGAAATTCATGATTAATTTCCACTTGTTATCCTTATTCAGGACTTTCTTCTCCACAGTTTCGATGGATATCTTACATATACATTCACTTTCTTTTGTTGTAGAGAACATGGATTTGCTATATGATCCTTTCCCCTGGGCCCAGTACTACATTCAAATCATCAGTGTTCTCCTAAATTGTGTGACTCAGATTGCTGTCTGCCTCCGGGTCTCACTGTAGTCCCAGACACCCGTGGTGACTTAGATTCTTGTGAAAAGACTTTGGGTCACCTTTTACTCTTCAATCTTCTCCCTCAGTACTAGGGTTACATAGTGTAAGCTCTGCTGGGCCAACTTCCTGTCTTGGTGAACCCCATTTGTCCCTCCACCACACAGCGCAGCTCTATTTCAACCACTAGGCAGGGACAGTGGGAGGTCCACGGTCACACATCTCAGCTTCCTCCATTCCCCAGTGTGATCACCCTCTGCAGTCTGCTCCAGTTCCCCTTCCTAGTCACCCCCCACCCCCAGATCCTTCTTTTTCTATTTATCATCAGGAGGAGTAATTCTACTTGCTATCTACCAGCCTACATTTCTCAAAACTAAACAAAGCTTTATTTTTCCCAGAAAGGACAACTGTACAAATTTCCAGCATTTACGGTCTCCCCTGACATTTCCCCAGTGAATTTGCCCAAACTTCAGGACAGGGTGACTATGTGGTTTAAGTATTGCCAACATGTTCTACCTTTGCACTTGTCCTCACGCCCCTCTATTCCATTTCACTTGCTATAAAATCAGAATCCCATCCATCCTTCAAAACCCATTCCAAATGATACCTCATTCCAGAAACTTTGTCATCAGCCTCCTCCCAGACAAAATTTCAGCTTCATATTCACCACAGCACTCTATCTTACACTGTGATTATCTTGTGGTTTTATATCTGTCACAGCACCCAGGACACCCTATCATACCCAATAGGAAGGTACTCAATCTGTATTAGTTAAATTGAATCAAAATCTAATGAAAAACTTACTTTCTATAAAAAGCCTCTGATGTTTCCAATGTCAAAGCAACAATGTTATTAAAAAACAATGTGAGAATCTTCGCTTGCCCTCCATGGACACTAATGCCCATCCTGGAATCAGAACTTATATAGGCAGCAACGTGCAGTCCCTGCAGTCTGATCCTGGGTATAACCTTTAACCTTTGTCTCATGTTCAAAGTCCAAAGACACAAAAGATTGATTTACACAGTAATTATTAAACCACTTGTTTCCTACTGATTTCTGGCCCAAAGTAGAATTTCTATGCTGTGTACTCTTGGAAGAGCACATTGGGAAGTGACTAAAATATGCTGGATGCCTAGCAACATTAGCAAGGCAGCTGGTTAAACAAACCCACTGCCTTTAATCACTGGCACATAAATTTGGTTTATACACGTCATCTACAGAGGCTGGACATGGTGACACACACGTGTAGTCCTAGCACTCAGGAGGCAGAGACAGGAGGACAGAGTGTTCAAGGCCACCCTGGGCTACATAGTAAGACCCCATCTCAAAAAGAAAAAAAAATATCCACAGATCTGTTTTCACAGATGGAAAAAAATGTAAGCATCACCATAGAATAAAAACTAGATAAAATATGTTGATCAAAGTGCTATAATCAATTAACGATATTCCCTCCTGTCAGTTACAGAGCAAACAAACAGCACTCTACGAATACCTAAGGCATTTCAAATGTATCATTTTTTGACGGTAAGAGGTTAAATATTCATGTCTTCACATATAGAGGGACTTTACTATGGAATTTGCTTTATAACTAACTGCTTTACTCAAGGAATCCCCACCTAATGGTGCTTCACCCCACTGAGTCCCACAAGCAACTATGCATCCAGGTTAAAGTTCAAGTAAATGTTCCAGTTAAAAATCATGGGAAATTTCACAGAGAGAGAGAGAGAGAGAGAGAGAGTGTGTGTGTGTGTGTGTGTGTGTGTGTGTGTGTGTGTGTGTGTGTGTGTGTGTTTACAGGCACATGGATGCCTGCACTACAACACATCAGACTTACCTGAAGCATTTTGTCAGGGCTGGGCTCAATGCCAGGTGGCATGTTGCTTGGGTCAAATGCCATCTGTTCAACCTCAGCAAAGTAATTAACTGGATTTCGGTTTAAGACCAGTTTGCCAACTGGGATAAGAGGGTAGTCCTTGTGAGGCCAAACCTGAAAATAATGCCATATTCACAATTACCAGACAACCAGCTAAGGGGCATAAAAGATTCCCATAAGCAATACCAACTTTCACATGTAGTCGAGCCAGCAAAAATAATAAATTTTAACCCAAATAAAACAAGTTAAGAACTCTAGCTGACTGCATTAGTTAAACCTTGCACAACAGTAAATGGTAAATATTGACACTTACCTAGGACAAAAGTACATCACCTTTTCAAAATTCATTCCCTGAAGGTTGGACAGAGTGGTACATGCCTGAAATCCCAGCTATTTGGGAGGTGGAGATGTGAAGAATCAAGGTTCAAGACCAGCCTGGGCAAGAAGTTATCAAGAACCTACATCTCAACAAAAAAGCTGGACGTGGTGGTGTGAGCCTATTATCCCAGCAGGGCAGGAGGCATAAGTAGGAGGATAGGGATCCAGGCCAACCTGGTTAAAAAACACTGCAACGCTACCTGAAAAAAGAACTAAAGAAAACAGGGCTGGGGTTTGGCTCAGGTTGTAGAGCACCTGCCTAGCAAGTGTGAGGTCCTGAGTTCAAGTTCCAATACCACCAAAACAAACAAAAAGAAAGAAAATTTGTTCCCTGCCACCTATTTGAATCCAATGAGCTTCCTGAACAGAAAATGGATATGAGATGCTGGTGAACATTCACTCAAAAACTAAAAGACCTGGAAAGCTACCACCACTTGTCTACCATGACCCTATCACTGTGAATGCTTGACAGGGATTTTTTTTTAGCTAGGTAAGAAGAATCTTTAAAAACAATATAATTGCTTCTGACTTACCTTGGTGAGATCAAATGGGTTAAACTGGAAGTTTTCTGCCTGTTTAAATGTCATGACCTGGATGTATAACGTCCAGGAGGGGTAGTTGCCTTTGGCAATGGCATTGAAAAGATCCCGGAGGCCATAGTCAGGATCTTCGTGGGAAAGTCTTGCTGCGTCTTCAACAGAGAGGTTTTTGATGCCCTGGTCAGTCTACAGAATGAAAGAAAGAAGCTCAAACTGAAACTGGTTGGCCAGGTTATCAAAAATTTAACAAGTAATTCATCGAGGGATTATGACTGGACTTTCTTTACATTACTTCCAGTGTTCAAGTCTGATGCTAATGAATTAACTAACAAAAAATTCAATTTGTTTATCCCAATTCTCTTAAATGTCAAGGGAAAGAGCTGGGTGCTGGTGGCTCACACCTGTAATCCAAGCTACGCAGGAGGCAGAGATCAAAGCCAGCCTAGGCAAATAGTTCACAATACCCTATTTTGAAAAAATCCTTCACAAAAGCAGGGCTGGTGGAGTGGCTCAAGGTAAAGACTCTGAGTTCAAACCCCAGAACTGAGCGGGGTGAAGCGGGGAAAAATGACCCAAACATTGTATGCACATATGAATAAAAGAAATAAAAAATATTTTTAAAAATATTAAAAAAAAAAAAATACTGCAAAAAAAAAAAAAGTCAATGGAATTCTATCCACACAATTTATATTTAAAAATCAGTCTTCTCTTTCCCTTTATGTATCCTCTATTATTTGAAATTTTATACTCAGGTTATCTTTTGAATCAGAAAAAAATCAAATACTTATTTTAATATGCAAGAGATTGGTAAAATTGAAGGGTTTTCAAATATCAAAATCCTTTCTTCTAGCTGTTTTTTTTTTTCTATAGCCACCTACTGTGCCACATAGCATAGCTGAACTCCTTTCTCCTCCTATCTAACTATAACTTAGTACCTACTGGCCAACTTTCCCCCATCCCTCCTTGCCTTTTACTCTCCCCAGCCTCTGGTAAGCACTATTTTATTCTCAACTTCTAATGAAGTCAGCCTTTTCGTATTCCACATGAAATCATTTGTCTTTCTGTGCCTGGTTTATTTCTCTTAACACAGAGATCTCCCATTTTGTCCATGTTGACATAAATGACAGGGCTTCTTTCTTTTTTATGGCTAAACAATACCTGTTGGGTATATGTACCACGTATTCTCAACCCTTTCTTCAGTAGGATGGACACTGAGGTTGCTCTAATTCTTGCTGTTGTGAGTAGTGATTCTATAATGTGTTTATTGTGTGTTCATGGAGGCAGAAGTCCCTTTGACATGATGATTTCATTTGCTTTGGATGTACCCCAGGAATGCTGAGACTAATTTTTTAATCCCCATTTTATAACTGCTCAAATAAGTTACTGAAATTGTGCTCACCTGGTATCCCTCCACCCCTATACTTTTCCTTTTGTTTTTAAGCAGTTCATAAGAACTAAAAGAACATCAACACAGAGCTCTGAACCAGTTCTCTATGAGCAGGTAACACTAGTATTGTGACTCTCTAAACAAATCAATAAAACGAAAGACATAATGTCACTTTCACAAGTGCTCCTATTATCAAATCATAGTGCTCCTCAAAAGCCTGACCATATGTGCCTTATTTGGAAAAAAACCCAGAAGCCAAGTGTCATGAAGAGATTTCCTTAGCAAAATCAACTCTGGAATGCTGATCCGTTTCTACCACGGAAGTCAGTGATGAGCTTTGAACATTTCCTGCTTTGGACCAGAAGGGAAGCCACCTTCAGGATTAAGAAATGAAGGTCACCATCTGTAGATCACCCAAAGAGCTAACAAATTAAATTAAGAGACAATATTATAACACTTTTGTGATTTTGACTGAATCCCTTGGATTCAGAAAATAGTAATCTTAGGTCAGGGTAACGCAGACTGATGCATTTGTGCACATCTCAGGCAGCCTGTTTGGCCTGTTTATGGTCAAATGGAGCCATAACAATCCAATCTTTCCAGGACTGCTAGTAGTATAATCCCAACTTCACAGTGAAAAGACTGGAGCTCAGAGAACTTTTCACAGTCATACACAAAAGTGAAGATCTGAGTTTAGGCTGGCCTAACTCCAAAGCTCCAAACTAGGTTGGTTGTCCCATATACAGTCATTTATATTGCGCAAGAGACTACACAATTCCTTCTAGTAATTATAAACTAAAGGGTCAACTGTTTCTAAAATCATTCTAAGACATAAATATAAAGACAGGTGATAGCTTTCTCGTTTGATATACCAACATAATTTGACTAAAGACTTAGACACGATAGAAGAAAACAGGGCTTCTGGGTGTCATTAAGAAGAAGACTACATATGTGATGAGCCCACTTCCTTCTGCTTATTTTAGCAGTAGTATTTAGCTTCTATTTGTGGCTAACCTCTGGCGTTCTTTGGAAATATCACTAACCCTCTGGAGTCCACTGGTAGTATTGCTTATTGTAATAAATGTTGATATCCTATCAAGACATGGTAGCAATTTGCCTTTACCTCTGGCCACATGTAAAGAACTAAAGACAGACTATTTTGAACTTATCCACTGGGTCAGTAGCCAACAAAATACTCATGGTGCTGGTCAATACTTTACATCCTTGAGGGTGGAGGCAAGGAAAAGGTGGGAGAACCCTTAATCTCTGCTCAATCCTTCAGGAGAAGTAAGGAGAGGTGGGCAGTAGAAGCCTTGTACCCTCTGCCCCAAAGGCAATGTGTACCTTATAATGGAACTTGCAATAAACTGCCTCTCCATTTGCATTAATCAGCTTGAAAGTATGTGATCCATATCCATTCATGTGCCGATGTCCATCTGGAATCCCCCGATCGCTGAACAAGAAAGAAACCTAAGGAACAGAAATATATAGCCTAAAATCTTTCGGTTTAAGTCAGAGAATCCTAGATTTTTTAAGACATTCCTGAGCTTCCAGAAGATCCCTTACTGACATGGAACATTCCAGCCCATTTCCCCTGGGAAGAGTTACCTTTATTATTTCACCTATGGAAAATAACAAACAGAAGAATTTTAAAGCATGATGATATAAAAATCATTAATGTCATAGCTCAAAATTCTACGAAGGAAAACTAAAAACAAACATGAAAACTAGCCTAACTCATTGTGCAAAATTTACCTTACTAGCATACTAGCTTTGTGCTACTTTCCCCTTATTTCCCTAATACATAGCTTTACCTCAGACTTTACTCCTTTTACTAGAATTTGAACTTAGGGCTTCATGCTTGCAAAGCAGGTGCTCTACCACTTGAGCCTCACCAAGAGACTTTAATCTTTGATATTGCTAACTACCAACTTATGTTTCCAGCTATCTAGCATTATCATCTATGGACGATCAATGATAACAAAATCAATCATTATAAAACTCTTCATAATCAAGAAATCTGAGGAGGGCTGGTGGAGTGCTCATATGGTAGAGCACCTGCCTAGCAAGTGCAAGGCCCCAAGTTCAATCCCCAGTACTGAAAAAAGGGGAAACATTTTGAAAAGAAAGCCAGAAGCCAGGCTGACCAAATGACTCAGTAGCAGAGCACCTGTCTCGCAAGTGAGAAGCCCTGATTTCAACCCTTAGTTCAGCCAATAGAGAAAAAGAGAGAGAGAGAGAGAGTCAGAAAACAATTCAAATAAAACATCCAGAACACATTCTGAGGCCAAATAAACAATCATATCCCAGGTGATATGAAAAAAGAAAGTGTTCCTACCTGATGCAAAGATTCAGGGCGTAGGCTCCAGAAGTCCCAGACCATGTCAGGATCCTTCAGGTGTGTTTGAGGATTTCTCTTTTGGCTATGAATAAAGGACGGAAACTAAACAAGAAAAAAGAGAGAGAGAAATCTAAAAACTAAGTTTATAGAAGTTAGTGTCTTACATAATGCATTGCCTATTGTTCCTTTATGGATTACAATCCTAAATAATACAATCCTAGAATTTTAAACTGCTGAACCCTAAAATGAAATGTACTCAGCATACACAACTAGTACCTAAGATACCCTAAAGTTCTTCAAATATATTCAAAGCTAAAGTCTCCCTTTAAAGAAAAAATAAACACACACACACACACACACACATGCACGCACACACGTACACATGCACAAACATACACACACACATCCTGCTGACCCAGGAGCACAGCACATGTAGGAAGATCTTCTATTCGTCTCTAGGGCAAAGCCCCTCTTTTGACTAATCTTCAATGCTCTGCAAGGAAAACTGGACTATTTCCATCAAGTCAATGGAATGCCAAATCTAAGATAAATCATAATTATTATCTGATCTTATAAAACACACTAAATTCAGAAAAATATACTTAAAAAGGCAATCCAGATAACTCAAATTCTCTTCTACTTTTCCCAGGGCCTGTCCTCAAATGCCAATCTACACAGAGTATTTGATGTCAACTTAAATCAACACTTGCAGAATACAAAATACTCTATCACCTACCAACATGGCATCCCTGATGAAGAAAATGGGGGTGTTGTTCCCAACAAGATCCCAGTTGCCATCTTCTGTGTAAAATTTCACGGCAAACCCACGAGGGTCACGAACTGTGTCAGCTGAGCCTGATTCTCCAGCTAGAAGATATGAATAAGAAAATGAAGACAAACCAAAGTACTTTGCATCCAAGTAGTCAAAAGTTATAAAGAAATGTTAGGATCTATGGTTTCCTATCCATAGAAGTAAATTAGGTAATTAAATGCCTGGGGTATTTTTCTATAATCAACCAGTTAATTCAGTCTACAAAAGAATTAATTGAGAGTAATAACTGAGTATATATAATGGCAGCTGAAAAGATTATTCATTTAGTATAAGATAATTTTGTTTAAACAGGTAATTAAATTAAGGGAAGAGAATGATTATTAAGATTAAGGTAGTTCCAGTGCCGATGACACTCCTATAATCCTAGCTACTCAGGAGGCAGAGATCAGGAAGATCACAGTTCAAAGCCAGCCGGGACAAATAGTTCCCAAGATCCTATCTCAAAAATACCTAACATAAAAAGGGCTAGTGGAGTGGCTCAGGGTATAGGTCCTGAGTTCAAGCCCCAGCACAGCAAAAAAAAAAAAAAAAAAAAAAAAAAAAAGATTAAGGGAGTGAACTACTAAAACAATGAGTTATATAAAATGTGAGGCTTAATATTAAAAAGATTAGTTAAAATACAGGTTTATTCTTAATTTCATTTGTTTTTGCATTACATAATATTTTTTAAAAGCACAGAGTCTAACATAGAAACTTAATTAGGTGCTGTGATATGCTGAGATATAGTATGATAAATCTAAATACTTACTAGCTCTGCAATATGAAAAAAACCACTTAACCTTTCTGAAGTAAAATAATATCACCTTGCAAAGCAGATACGCAGATCAACGTCTGTAAAGCACCTAACCATGATTGGCATACTTAATTCTCAGTAAAGGGCAGCTACTATCATGGTTATTGAATAAGATCGACACTCCCTGCTTCCCATTGAAGTAACCACTTGGGGAAAGCTATTTCTAAATGTCACAGAATTGCAGAGGTAGCCCTGTGATTTCCTAAGACATCAACAAACTTAAGTAACTTCCTATAAGTCTCCAAATACTTTTTCTGTGGTAGAACCCGCTGAAATTTGGAGAACAGTTTGTTTCCTGTTTCTTAATGAGTTTTTCTTGAAATTAAGTTTTAAGTGCCCCCAAATAAGGTGCAGGATGAATTAAGCAGTACCAGTCATGCAACTAGATCCACTTACCAACAGTGGAGAATCGAACTGCAATAGGAGTCCTCTTTCCAATGTGCTCAAACACCTTCGCCTTGGAGTATTTGGTGATGTCATGTGTGACCTCAAAGTAGCCAAAGGCACCTAATGGGAAAGACACAGAAATCCTCACTATGAGACCATCACTCAGCTCATCAGGCCCTCAAAAGGCACCTAGTGACAGAAGAAACAGAGTTTAGCATTGGGTTTCTGTGATCCAATATGATGTGGGAAGGATAGGCAAATACAAAATAAGAATAAAATGCAAAACCCAATTATCATTCAGTGCCCATTGAGTACCACATAGCTGACCTTGGTCGAGGTTGACCCAAGGACACAAGACCTTAGACGGTCTTGAAGTACAGGCAGGGCCTAAGAGAGAAAGAGAATAAGGAGGAGAGAAGAAAATGTAAAGAATACAAAATGCTAAAGAACAAATTGAATAGCATATCAGTCATGATGGAAAGACACATGAAAAAGATGAAAAGAAATCTTTTTTTCATATTTGTCATCCTTTTATTTTCTTTGAAATTGTTTATTCAAATCTGTGCATTTTAAATGTCTTGACTGTTATCTGATTATGGCATTAAGAGAGTTTATTATATACTCTGGATACAGGGACGACCTCTTATCTAGGGAGAAGAGATGAAATTAGGAAGTTCAAGAAGCAGAACTTCTTTCTGAAAAACACCTTTCATTGCTTTCTGGAGAGCTCTTTTTCCTCTTGATTTTTTAGCTTTCTTTTAAACACCATTACCATCTTTTGTTTTCATCATAAAAGCAAGATCAAAAGTTACACAGTTTTTAACAAAAGGGAAGGAAAAATCATCACAAACCCACCATTCCAACACAACTATGCTCCCATTCTGCATGGTTTAAACCTGGTTGCAGTTACAGTGTACGCTTGTGTATCTGTATGACTGTACTTTTATTCCTTCGATCAACTGCATGATAGAAGAAATGGAAGGCTATTTTTATTTATTTTACACATACACAGAGAGAGAGAGAGAGAGAGAGAGAGAGAGAGAGAGGTTGTGCTGGGCATCAAACCCAGGGCTCTGTGCCTGCTAAGCAAGCACTCTACCACTGAGTTACAACTCCAGCCTTTGGGGTTTCTTTGAGACAGGGTCTTGCTATGTAGCCTGGGCTGATCTTAAACTCCTGGTCCTCCTACTTCTATTTTCTGAGTGCTGGGATTATAGATGTGCACCACCATGCCTGACTGGAAAATTACTGTTTTAAAAACTATTTTATATTTAATGTTCAACCCAAGAAAATAACTGTTACTTAGTTACTAGTTCCCCTGTTGATAGACATTTGTACTTTCTCCCAAAAACAGATATTCGGCATTTCCATTAAAGGTCTTCCAGTGTTTTGGGAAATAATTTTGACTTGGATGTTATGAAACGATCTATTAAAAAAAAGAACAAAGCTCTCACCTGCTCCTTTAGCATGCACGACTCTCTCAGGAATTCTCTCCCTGTCAAAGTGTGCCATTTCATCAGTGAAAACCACATCCTGAACTAGAAGGGGCCCACGGGCCCTGCAGTCATAAGGTTAAGTTTGTCTCCTACTGGGTTACCGCTTCCAGTGGTCAGGACATCAGGCTTCTACGGGAACACAAAAGGAAAAGAAACATGAGAGAATCAGTAGCATCAAACCTTTAACTTACACTGTCACAGGGTATCACTTTGCAAGGTAACACCTTCTGCTCTACCTCTTCTTAATTTTTCTGTGCCCAAAGTGCTGAAATACTATAAGATATGCTGTTGCCTGAAATTTACAGTCAGCTCCCAGAATCCCTAACAAACCTCAACCCTAATCTGCTCAGACACTTGCTCTGAGGAGCAGAGATATGTAAGTAGCCTACCAATTGGCTCAGTGCTTGCTCTCCTGTACCAGGCTCCACACATGAACCCCTAGACAGGGAAACTTGCCCCCCAAAATGGTCATGTGTACTTAACAGTGAATGTCCAAATTAACCATGAGAAGATGGGTCTCCAGAGAAGCTACGCTGGCTGGTGCTTTACTCAGAGTCTCCACTTGTCACACTGTGGAAGCTTGCAAGCACTTCCTGGACAGCACATTTATTTCTCTCAAGCAGTATATGCCAACTATGGAGAATATCTGTTTTCAATTAAAGCAAAAGTCAATGTCTTTTATTATCACTAAAAGTAACTTGTTTCTGGAAAGGTGGATTACAGTATTAATGTTCTAAAAATGCTGAATATCTCTGGAGTGGAACATGTAATTTTATTAATAAAAAACTAGTTTTAATCCAGCCAATTCTCCAATTTCAATTACATCAGAAACCTCTCAGCTGCCCCTCGTCGTGGGTGGCAACAATGCTCTTCAAGCCCCATGTGACACTGGGCAGCCCCTAGCTTCATTGTATTCCATGGTCAATGGCATTTTTTAACATCTTATTGGTGTTTAGTAATTGTACAAAATAATGAGTTTCATTATGACATTTTCATATATGTATACCACATAGTTTTTCATATTCACCCCCTCCATAGTGTTTTTGACCACAGACAACTGCCTCTCAGTGTCCCCTGGTCACTAGGAAATCAGGAGACATAGGGATGAAGCAAAGTCACTTTGGTTCTCTTGCGAGAACAACCCAACAGGGTCAACTGATAAAAAGTCAATAGTGCAGCTTTGCCTACCCAGAAGAGCACCTAGCATTGCCCACACCTGGAGTGGATGTGTAATTTTTAGTCCCCATGCATACCTGGCCTGCATATTAAGATAAAGAGTAAGATTAAAGGCAGAACTACCTCCCAGGATTAAGATGTGAATTAAAAGAGCTTAAATATAGGCAAAGTATAGCCACTTGCTTAGCATGTACATACCACCACTTTCCAGGCCATGAAAGAGTGACCTGACGGCAGAAGCTCAAAGCATTTTAGATTTTTCTAGCAATCATGACAAATGTGCACTCTTCCCTCCAGACTCACACCCCACCACCCATGTCCCTGTGCCCATCTAGCAGCAGACCTTTCCAAGCTGTCAAAAAGTTTAAGGGTCCAGTCAGCAGTTACCACCTGACCACACCTCTTTCTTTTGAAGATACTCATGTTGCTAATACACGTGACCTTGTATGGCTTTAGTTTTCATTTAAAGTAGAAAGTAAATCAGAAAAATAAAGAGTGAAACTACACAACTACAACTCCCTCTTTAGTTGAAATCTAAAGCCTTGGTTTTTAACCTTGGCTAAACACTGCAATCACTCAACAGCTTCTTAAAGCACCTGATGCTTGGGTCATCACTCTGGAAAATTCTGATATAAGCAGTTTGGGGGAGGTCCAGGATATTCTCAAGTTCCTGAATGATTCCAAAGTGAAGCCGGAATTGGGAACCACTGACCTACAGCTGTGGGATGATTCAAAATTAAAATAATAAATAATAAATTAATTGGAGCAAAATAAGCCTGCCCATCCTTCAGATGCCCTTTTCACTACATAAGTGAGCATTAAAGGAAGATATATATGTATCTTCATCTATAGATAGATACATATAGATATAGATATATAGATATATATAGATATATAGATATAGATATAACTTCCTGATATATCTATATATATATATCCTGATTACAGAGTCAGGGTGATATGGTCAAGAATAAAAGCCATGCTCAAAGGAGGCAGATGCAGGTAAGCTGGATGAGTGAATAAAATATTACAGCATGGATGGTCCTTCCTGATGACAGCAAAACATGGAAGCCTAGAATGGGAATGCTGCAATTATGCTATTACTGCTCCTTTCTGACATCGTCCTGTGAAGAAATGAAACCTGGGCTTCTCTGTTACAATGAAGCATTCAGAATCTCTTCCACTTCCCCACTTAAATAGATCAATTGCTAAATGATAGCAATTTCCCTCACACAAGCTCATAGACAGGGAATTTACCTTCAGAACAAGGGTGGCAGGAAAAGCTTCAGCAGTCAGGAGTATAGAAAAGAGGCCAATGGGCAAACACTGGCAGGGAAAAGATCCCCTGACTTAGGGGATGTTTAGGACACTGATAAAAGGAACTAATCTAAACTAAAAGGTGCAGTATTTGTTAGCAGGTGGGAGCAGAATGCAGTGTATTTGTTGAGATGAAAATAATGCAATGAAGGAAGGCATAGCTCAGTGTTAGAGCAGAGGTCTTGGCTTCAATCCCCAGCACTGCTAATAATAATAATAATAATATCATCATGCAATGAAGGTTTATTAAATAATCTGAATGGGTGGGGCCAGAGAATGGACTACACAAGATATCTCACTTAAGCCTCCCAATAACCTTGTGAGAGAAATGTTATTAATTCAATTTAATGGGTGACATTACTGAGAGAACTTAGGTAACTACACAAAGGATGAATCAGTAGCTTTAAATTCTTGTTTATTTGGTTGTTTTTTAATTCAGTGAAAGATCACTTTAGAACTAGAATTTCTTAAAGATAAGAAAAACTTCTCTGTTGCTGGACAATTGTAAGGGCTGTCTCTGGAACACAGATGTTCACGTGTGGACATCTTCCTGGCTGCTCGTTGTTCATGATATCCACTCAGATCCCTCCTAAGCCACCCCCTGCTCTGCCCCAGAAGGACAGCAGGCGTTCAGCATACACTACATTTTTGGCACAGCTTAACACAGCTGTCAAGGTGGTGAGAGTCCTAAAATCCAGCCTCCAGACACCAGGCAAGGGCTAGCCAGCCTTGTGAGGAGATCTTCTGGGGGATAGCAATCTGGGCATGGTTGCTCTTTTCTTTCTTTCTTTCTTTTTTTTTTTTTTTTTTTGTGGAACTGGGTTTTAAGCTCAGGGCCTCATGCTTGTTAGGCAGGTACCTCCAGCCCAGGGATCACTCTTTTCTTCAGAGTAACTGGTTATTTGTTCTTTAAAAAAAGAAAGGGAGGAAAGGGAAAGAGAAATGGAAAGGGGAAGGGGAAGGGGAAGGGGAAGGGGAAGGGGAAGGGGAAGGGGAAGGGGAAGGGAAGGGAAGGGAAGGGAAGGGAAGGGAAGGGAAGGGAAGGGAAGGGAAGGAAAAAATTATTCTTTCTGGGCCATAAGACTTTTTCTCTGAGATTATACAATGTAAATTGACTTCATCCTGATTAAGGCAACAAGTGTCTTGGTTACAAGTCAATGTGAATTGGATATCCTAAACTCAATAGGCAAAAATGAGCTTTATATTTTATTTTGTTCATTGCCTATGTTATCCTATACAATCTACCTAAGGTACTCAGTAAGTAAAATACTCAATAAATAAGGTACTACCTAAGATATTAAAGCACTCAATAAATATGGTATTTGACAAAATGTTGAATAATATATCATAGAAAAAGTGAAATCTAAGAAGAGGAAGAAAAAAAAAAACTATCTTCTTGTTGAAGAACATAATGTTTTTTTTGTGGTAGCACTGGGGTTTGAATTCAGGGCCTCATGCTTGTTAGGCAGGCTCTCTACCGCTTCAGCCACTCCACCAGCCCTTGATAAAGAACATAAATGGTAAGTAACTGTTGGAAGGAAACAAAGTGTAGGGAAAGCCATCTCTATAGTTTGCTAACTGCTACTGGGTGTGCAGCCTCTATGGCCTGTCGACCTAAATACAGAGAGAGGGGGAGCTAATGAATATTCACATTTATAGAGAATAAGCAAGGTGCATTGCGACACTGAGCATGCATCATGGAAACCATGGGTGTTTGCAAAGGGGCCAGGGAAAGAAAAACTTCTAAAGGCAAAATGAGGAGGATTACATAAATTATTTTGCAACAATTATCTCTGGCCAAAGAATTAATAACAAGGGTGTTCAAGGATCAAGAGGAAGGATGGAACCCATCCAAGGTTAAGCAGACAGTTATAGACAGATGTCCTCGCAGAATTATTTTGTGTGTAAGGCTGTAGTGGCCTTTGGGAAAAGTGGCAGTTCTAACAGACTCTTGCTATCAGGCACAGAAGCCTGAGACTCCATCACCTCTCAGCTTCATTATCAGTTTTGCTGTTGTCAAGGTTTAGCACAAGCAACTCCATTTTGATTCTGACAGCTTTCCCAGGCCTCAGGCACAGTACAAAGCAGAACAGTGAAGTAACAGGCAAGCAAAGAATTGCCTGTTCTTGGTGTCTGACTGCTAGGGAGAACAAAATGCAGAAGAAAATTAAAAGTAATTCAAGCCTGTAATCCTAGGTACTTGAGAGGTAGAAATTGGGAGGATTGCAGTTGAAGGCCAGTCAGGGCAAACATTTCACAAGAGCCCATCCCAAGCAATGACTGGGAAGCACAAATAGGAGGATCACAGTCCAGGCTGGCCCAGGCATAAAGCAAAACCACACCTCAAAAAAAAATTTTTTTTTAAATAACCATCACAAAAGGGGCTGGCAGAGTGGCTGAAGTCATACAGCACCTGCCTAGCAAATACAAGACCCTGAGTCCAAACTCCAGTACCACACAAAAAAAATTTTTTAAGTGATTCCAAGGAGCCCCAGGAAGGGAAACCACTTTAATTACAGAAAAATAATAGTTGTTTTTTCAAGGAAAATGATTAACTTCCAACTCCACACTCACAGAGCTGAGCCTCTAAACTCAGCCTGCCTGAATACAGCTACTCCCTCATCCAATGAGAAATGTTCCTTTCTCCAGCCCTGTCATTTTATTTGTACAAGAGTAAACATGATACAACAGTTGCTAGTGCTTTAGTGAATTGCCAAGGCATTCACTTCACTGTTTCAATGTTTCCAGCCAGAAACAGCTAAAACATTGCTACTGGTTTTCAACAACTAGAAACACTTAAAATAATCCTATAGCAAATAAACCCTTTAAAATATACAAAATAATAGCTCTTGCAAAAGAGGTTTTTCTGTCTTAAAACTGTCTTAAGTAGGTAAGTCTGGTAGCAATAAGCAATGGCCTAGTCCTTCAATCTTTCAAAAAAGGCAAGGAATACAGGGAAAAGTTTGAAGAGATAGTCTCCAAAAAAATGAAGGATAGCTGACCCACAAATTAAAAAGATTCCTTTACTCTTTGTAGTCATAGTCCTTAGGAAATTAAGAACAAAAATGAGAAAATAAATATAAATTAATATTTGCTTATTTTACATTTTGCAACTAGTTTCTCCTTTCTTACCTGGAGATTTATGTAATGATCTAGATATTACTAAGAAGTAGAAATTAGAGCATTGAAAGACTCCATCTCTCATAGTATCTGTCCTACTGACACATTATGACTTAGCATTTCCACTTCTAGTTACTCTCACAAGAAATGAAAACATGTGACACACGGTCACTCCCTCTCCATCCTTCTCCATCTACAATGTTAGCAGTATATCATCAGCACACTTATTATTAGGTTACCCTCAAAAACATAAACCTTCCTATAGACAACTCCCTAACAGGATGGACAGGCTAAGACTCAACCTCTCCCTGGTAGTAAGGGAACTGTGTGACAGGGTCAGGCTTGCAACGTTCAGATTCTCCAATGTGATCACAGGGGTCAGAGGCTACTTATTTGACCTACATCTCCCAAAGAAGAGCATCTTAAACAGGTTGCTCCATTCAAAGTGAGTGGGGATACTGGAGAACTGCCTCCCTCCTGCCAAGGTATTTTGAGAAGAAAAGAGAAAAAGATTTTTAGGTGGATCCAAGTCAAGTCTATGAACACACTTGATTCAATGCTCAATTAGTAAAGTTTCCAAAGCTCCCAATTCACTCATCAGCAGCAACACCTGTCCACAAGGAGACACCCAATAAATTGCTTGCATACTGGCTGCCACTGTGGTTCCAAGGGCTGAACCACCCAGCTTGGCAGTCAGCATCTGGTTCTTAAGGGAGGAGACAGCAGAGTGCCCTTCTATAGTTGCAAAATTTAAAGTACTCACAGTCCAGTGAAAGAGCAAAACAAAGGACATCTTAATGTCAGGAAGTAAAAAGAACACATTCTTGATGTCTATTAGCCATCGCCACATCACAAAAACTAGTTGGATAGATTTTTCACTAAGTACGGAATACACTGTCTTAGGCATGGAGATGACTACATTTTCTAGTCCCCCTTACAGTTACCGGTGGTCTGTGACATAGTTTTAGCTGAGAGAATGTGACTGGAAGTGACCCTTACCCCTAAGCCTCCCAAACCCCCTCTTCCATGCATTTAATATACTGTCACTGACCAGTGATGCCTCAGGTAAAAGCCATGTGTTGACCTCAATAACTGTGAGGATCAACACCGCTACCACCCCCAAACCACTTTGAGCCACCAATGTAATAGCGAAATAAATTTCTAATTATGTCTACATCATCACTCATAGTGGAACCTATTATTACAGCACTTAGTCACACATGATTTAACTTAAAATATGAGCTATGAACCAACACTAAAATGATAATCTAACCTCTAAAAGGACAAAAGACTTGCTAACAAATAGCACAAAGGAGCCAATGCCAGTGGTCATATACTCAGCATCATTTGTCTTCAGAGAAGTGCACATGAAAACCACAGGAAAGGATGATCTCATAACCACTGTGATGACTAAAATTAACCAGTGTAATGACTCTCATGCACTGTAGGTGGAAGTGTAAAATGGTCCAACCACTGTGGAAAAGGGCTGGGGAGTTTCTCCTAATACATTCACCTACCCTGTGGCCCAGTAAATCAACTCCTTGGCATTTCCTGCTTGTTTACTTTGGGTTTTGCTTTTGAGACAGGGTGTCACCAGATGGCCCAGGCTGGCCTGGCACTCACAATCCTCCTGCCCCCATCTTCCAAGTGCTAGGACCACAGGCTACCACACCCAGTGAGGCATTTTCTAAGAAAAATAAAAGCATGAGTGTACAAAATGACTAGTATGAGAATTTTCAAATAAACTTCATTCATAATAACCCAAAACTGGAAATAGCCCAGGTGTGTAGCAAATAGTGGTATGTCATATAACTCAGCATAGAAAGAACAGACTACATACATGCCACAACATGAGTGACTTAAAACGTTTCTTGCTGAATGAAAGAAGCCTTATACAAAACAGTATATAAATCAATGGTTAGAAAACATTCAAACCATGTTTCCTGGGGCAACATTGTAGGGATCTGCTGATAATGGCCAGGAAACAACATGAGAGAACTTTCCAGGGCAATGATCATCTTCTACATCTCAATAAGGGTTTGGGATTCACTGGTATAGATACTTATTAAATCTTGTGGAATAGTACACTTAACATTCATGTATTTCCCTGCATGTGAATACCACCTTAAAAGCATGAACATATTTTGGACTCTATTAATTTGCTGCTTGGTGTTTAAGGGTCAAGTATACTGAAGTCTTCAACCCACTCTGAGATGCACTTAAAAAATCAATAGATTATGGACAGGTGGAACAACCTGTTAAAAAGATAAATAGCAAAATGTGAATTGCAGACACTAAATGGTAGCTGTATGGGCAGACACTGTACAATCCTCTCAACTTTTTTTTGTTATTTAAAATTTTTCATAATAAAGTGTTGGAAAACTATACAGGCTATGTGGCATATGCAAAATTCCTTTTGGAGAATAAAGGAGTCACCTCCAAGAAATAAACTTAGCAAAAACTGAGAACCAAAACTTCTACGTAACTGCCAATCAGGATGACATACACAATGCAGAAATGTCATGGCCAGAGGAGATAGTATTTCAGCTGAGTCCCCCAAGTACAGACATGCGCTGTGGGCCATCTGTTTCTTACATGGACAACTGTGTCCAGAAGTCAAGAGCAAGGACTTAATGATTCAACCACAGTTAATTATTCTCCCAAACAAGGAAGATGCAAACTAGTCTCAAAATAAAGGGGAGTCCTTTAAAAATGAATATGTTGTGTTTTATAAAAATCTCACTACATTGTCCATCTTTTCCCCAATTCACCAAGTATTCAGGAAAACTTCAGTGTGAAGAAGATTTAGCAACCACTGGGTATGCAACAGGTTCACGCTCAGTTCTAATCTTGACTCTGCAACCAGCTAGCTGCATGCTCTTGATAAAGACTCTAATTCTCTCTAGTTCTCCAAGAAATCATGAAAAATCGAACCTTCCTAGTGGTCTATACCAAAGAACGGAGCAAGAGGTTAGAGGGGAATGGAAGTCTTCTCACAAACAGAGCACCATTAACCTAATCCATGAGCACTAGACAATCCAACCTCCACACTATGCATATTAGAACGGTTTTGAGACAGCACTAGGCCGGCACCTAGGAGAAAGCATGGCTGTGGTCCTCTCTCTGCCATGTTAACCAGCAGCAATGGGAAGCGGGCATGACCCTCTTGTCCACTCTGCCAAAAGAACACGCCAACCAGGTGCACACTCACCTAATCCAACCCTCTCAAAGATACCCTTTGAGATGCTGCACCCCTGGGCACAGGCCGGAACGTCTTTCCCCACCACCACTGGGCTGAAATCTCCTCATCTTTAAAGATTCTTTTGTTCGGATGGCACCAGCTCTGGGAGGCCTTGCAGCCAGTCACTCCCTCTACACTAACAGGCAGCTTGTATTAGCACTAGGCGGTGAGATGTGTTTATGTGTCTTGTTTCGGAACCTCCTCAAGGGCGTGGTCCTTGCCTCACTGGAATTTGTACACCTTGGCCACGCACCGTGTCCCACACAAAGCAGGCACTCAAAGAATTCTGCGAATCTACACAACAATTAGCTGGCCTAATGTCAGGGCCAGCTCTGAAATACCAGGGCTGATGTTTGTAAGTGCAAGTGAAATAATGGATGTAACAATTCTTTTATTTGGTCTTTTAATGTTGCGCATACTACATATGTCACTGTGGATGCTGCTGCGGACATGAAGATAATAAGACACGGTCCCTAGTGCCGAACAAACGTGAGAGCATGTAGGTATATTTCAGGAAGGTTAATCTAGACCTGCTCCCACTCCCTGCCACTTCCTTTTTTGCAGCTGCAGCTGTCTCTTTCCCCATGTGGCTTCATTCTGCACTCAAGCTGTGACCTCTGTCCCAGCTGGCACAGGTGCAAAATTCAGAGCCAACGACAAATCCGCTGCGGGTCTGCTCCCCACGCCCCAGAACCCGCACCCCTGCTCCCCGAAAGTAGCAGTCCACCTGCACAGAACGGCTGCCCCCGCGCCCACAATCGATGGCGCAGCCCCGGGGGAAACGGCCACAGGGAAGCCGGGAGCTGGGGCCGTTAGTTGCCGACGCCCCCTCTTTCTGCGCAGTTCCGGGAGTAGCGAGCTGGGAGAGCACGGGTGTACCTGCGAGCCCCGCTCCTCCTTCCACAGCTTCATCTGGTCGCTGGCTGGGTCCCGGCTGTCCGCCATGATGTCCGACTGGCGTTGCACAAGCTGGCAGGCGGCCTCGACTCGCGCGTCTCCACCCTCGGCAGACGATCGCGTCCACAGCCCGGCGGCTGAAGTAGAGGACTTCAGGCTCCGCCAATCAGCCCCGCCCACTGCCCGCCCTCTGTAAGGCCGCCTCCTGATTGGCCGCTGGAGAGCTTGGAGGGATGGGATTGGAAGCCCCGTGAGGCGAGAAGCGGGGGCTCCTAGCTGGAGGCGGGGTCAAGGATGGGGAGAGAATGGGGAGGGGTCGAAAAGGACGGATCGCGGTGACACACGAAGTGGAGAGACTGCAACTTCAGCTCTTAGAGTCAGAAGTCCTGGGTTAAGTTCCTCTGTGCAAAGTTACATTGTGTCACACCCTAATATAAGTATTGTTTGTTACCGAAGGATGGAATGAATACTTACTTAACTCTTTTTCATGGATTATCACTTATCTACTATATTAATTATTTAATATCAAAACACTCTGAAACTTTGTCTCGCCACACATAGGTGTGGGTTTCCTCTTCTGCCAGAGAAGAATAACTTAGATAGGCATCTAATTGCAAAAATGTAGTGAACGCCTGTCCATTATGTCAAACTGGCTTCTTTAAAAACTGCAGTGATTCATATAACTAATAAAAAAATTCTTTTAACTATTGCGATGTAACACAGTAATAAAGAAAACTTAGCCCTGAAAAATACTGCAGTGATACATGCTTCCCCCACATCTTCTCCCAAACAAGTAAGAATCTATGTTGGAAAATAAAAATTTTAATAATATTTGTCACAGTTAGTAAGTTACTAGCTAGTTTGCCATTTTAACCAAGAGGATTGAATGTTTTCTCTCACTTGGGTGCTAGGATTTTATCTTTAAATACCTTGATACATGTAAATAAATCATCAACTTCAAATTAAAAGTTCTCAGCTTTTACCTCTGTTTTTTGGGTTGTTTTTTTTTTTTCAGTAGAATTACATATAATAGGTGGATATATCATCATGAAAATTTGAGATGTTCTTGATTTTACAGAAGTGTGACACTAAGAATCTTAGTAGCAAAAGTTTAACTTTTGAAGTTCGTTGGGAAAACAGACCACAAATTGGTTTTATCACCTATACTTTTCCTATACGGCACCTAGCACAATTGTAAAGATGTTGTTAGCTGTGTGATTTATTTGCTGTCTTCTGCTACTCACCCCATTCTTACTGCTGCGAGACTATAAAGTCCATGAGGGCATGAACTGCCACTGAGCACTTACTGTGTGTCAGAGACTGCTCAGAGCTTTTTGTCTGTATTTATTTGCTTTGTTAGCTCTCCTAATTACATTATGAGTTAATACTAATATTCCCCAATTTTACAGATTAGGAAACTGAGGAAATTACACATTTACTAAGGGATACAGTCAAGATTCCAGCCTTGTCCATTCATCTGTAGAAGCCATGGCTTGATGAATAAGTGAATGATGAAAAATCAAACAAGTCCTTTTCTTCTTTAGCTAGGATAAGCATCAACAAAGTAAATAAAAAGAGACTTTGAGTCATATGTTAATCTTTGTAGTTTGTATGAACATTGTCCTGTTTGGGTTTATTTTTTTCCCTCTGTTTTAATTATTGTTAGTTTGGATTCCCAAAGAATTTTTTTCCAGAGAAAGAGAAACAAGACTGGTTTCTGATCTTGTCGTATCTTGTGTTTTAAAATATGATGTGAGTTTGCAAGTGATGACAGTGAATTTATACTGGCAAGATAGTAGAATTTCTATTCATTAGGAAACTTGGAAGATGAGGGATAATATATCAAATAAATAATCATTTATAGGTGGTAATAAATAGATATCTGTCTCACTAATATTTTTCTCTTGTACATATGAGATATCTCATTTATATCATGTGTGTGTACCTGCAAGGTTATATATAGGAGAGGTAGAAGGAGAGAGAGATTATTTATAATGCACCATGTGGAATATATAATCTTATGTCTATCAGGTGCATGTGAGAGAGAGACAGAGAGAGATTTACAATGCACTGTGTAGAATATATAATCCTATGTCCTGTTTTTTTCTACTTAACATTATAACATGAAGTTTTTCCCAAGTTATTAAATATTCTTCCAAAAATATGATTTTTTTCCCCACGGCTGTGGTCAAAGATTGTTCTTTATTTATATATTCCCTTACTGAGAATATTAAACTTTTTCTACTATAATAGTGTAATGACCTTCATGTGTATTTGCATTTATTTCTTTACGGTCCTTTTCAGAAAAGTTTCTGATTCAAATCATTTAAATATTTCTTTTTTTTCTTTTTTCTTTTTAGCATTACTATGGTTTGAACTTGCTAGGCTCTACCACTTAAGCCACATCTGAAGCCCTTTTTGCTCTGGTTATTTTGGAGGTAGTACCTCATTTCTCAGGCCAGTCAAGGCTAGGGCCCTCCTATTTTAAGTTTCTTGCCTTCACTGGGATGACAGGCCTTGGTCACCACACCCAGATTTTTCCACTGACGTAGAGTCTTAGAAGCTTTTTTTTTGCCTGGGCTGGCCTGGAACCATAATCCTCCCCATCTCAGCCTCCCAAGTAACTAGGATGTTAGGCATGAACCACTAGCACCCGGCTGCATTTGGACACAGTAAGGCTCTTGTAACAGCGCACACTCACTGGCACTGAGTGACTAGGCAGAGGAGTAGCTGCATTTGAGATGTCTACAAGTTTCATATTAGATTCTTCAGAATGGACAGCACCTCTCATGTTAGGTCCAGCCATCACCAAGACCCCACAGAATTTAACCTACTCACTGTCACATCCTCAGTCCTCTGCCTGCTAGGCTTTCAGAGTACAGCAGTGAGGGAGATAAACGTAGGCAAAGAGTAAGACAGTGACACGGTGAAGCATGCTGAGAGAGGGGAAGGACAGCTGCTTTAGAAATAGTCGAGAAGGGTGTCTAGCCTGAAACTGAGAGGCCTTGGGAGGCTTCCTTGAGGAAGAAACAGACAGATGAATGTTGAGGAATAACTAGGTGTTAGATACAGTACCAGAGAAAACAAATTATGGCCCACCCAGCACCACAGAGATCTGAAGACTTTCTTCCATTTTTCCTGACAGTCTGATGTCATTAATGATGGTATTGTGAGGACACCAATAGGACTGAGATAGAAGCAAACATTTACAACTGGCTTAAAAGCCTTTTTCAGGTTGGCCCAGGTACACTGGCTTCTGTAATTGACTTTGACTTTGACTTCTGGTGTTTACAGTGTTCCCTCCTCCCAGATGGGATAATACAATGCCTGTGTAAGCCAGTCATGTTTAAAGACTGAGATGATATGCCTGGCTTGGAATTATTCCAGGGCTGTCCTCTTTGAGCCATTTGATTTCCTCCTTTGTGTGTGCTAGTAAGCACTGCATCTGTGCTTGACTCTGAGCTGAATTCTGTATGTCAAAACTACATGTGGGTTCTTACACTACAACAACACTAGTTTCAATAGCAAGTCAACACATTCACTATGCACTGAAACTCAGTTATCCATGAAGATGTGAATAATAGAAGAAGTATGTTTTGGGGAAGCCACCTGTTGTAACTAACATGGTCATCTAAGGAGGAATGGAACAAATGTCTCTTACATCTCTTTTCCCCCATAAACCCAGATCATAGACCAGCAGGACTTCAAAAGGCAAAATAAGGTGGTTCGTAGTTAAAAGTCCCAGCACTAGCATTGGAGCACTGGGTATTAGGTCTTACCATAGCCACTCATGAACTGTGTGACCTCAGGCAAGTCACTTAATCTTCTAAACTTCCATTTCTCCTTTGTAAAATGGAGATGGTAACTCCTTCTATTTTAGTTATAATCTAAGCTGCTATAACAAAAATAACAACACCAAAAAAATAGCAGAGCTTAAACACAATGAAAGTTTATTTCTCCACACAAAACTTCTCAGACCTAAATGGTGCAGGACTGGCTTAGGCAATTCTGCCATCCTCAAAAAGTGGTCTCCCTCTCTGGGGCCAAGGTAGCCCTCCAATCACATGATAATACCTGCGAATGCCAACTGGGAGGAAGGGGGACACAGGAGCATATGGAGCACATGCCCATTTCTTTGTAGAGCATAACCTGGAAATAGCATTTTCCTTTCTGCTCCTATCACATTCCATTGGCTAACATTTAGTCACATGACCAGGCCTACCTACACAGGACACTGGGAAATGTAGTCTCTGGCTGGCATTCTGTATTAAAAGAAGGGCGAATGGATGTTAATGGTCAGTGAGCAGCATCTGCTACTTCAACCTCCTGGGACTGCTGAGAGATGACATGCAGAGTTAATAATCAGTATTCTAGTTTCCAGAATTTCCATTGCTCTTAAACCACATATTGTTATGTGCTGCCTCAACTGTTCAGAAAATATAACAAACTTTATGTTGAGTTACATTACATTCATCCTTATGGGATGTAGCTACTGAAAGTGTGACTCTGAAATCACTGTGATGAACAGGCAGTGTCCTACACCAAACCTTCCCATCCCACACCACCCCCCACTTCAAAACATATTTTAACAAAAACTTACATGGTTCCTACCATGTCCAGGCTCTGCATTGAGAGATTTACCTATATTAACCTATCTAATCCCTCTAACAATCCAATAAGGAATAAACCCTAATTCTTTTTGCTCCACATAGGCAGACACTGGGGTACAGAAAAGTGAAGTAATCTCCCAAAGTTATATCACTAGTTAGTGATGAGGCTTCAGACTATGAAGTGTCTCTGGATATCACATCTCAACTCCTGCATTGTTCTTCCTGCAATAAAGTGGACAGGAAGACAGGGAGCCTGGGGTGAGTGTTGTACATTCTTAGAATCCACCTAAAGCATTGTACCATCTCCTACCCACCTAGAACCCCACTTTGTGGGAAGCACACTAGTGTAAAGCAATTGTGAAATCCATAGTTTGCATACCCCATAATTAAGAAAGATCACAAAAAAAAGACATTCCAGACTTTGAAAGAAAGATTGGGAAGTGGTTTTGGAATTATGACACCAGAGCACGACAGGCTTAGAGACCCACATAGGATTGAGGATCAGCCCAAGGGAATGGTAAG